CGACGGATGGCATCTTGTTTTGTTGGGACGGGGATAGGGACATTTTGTGATTTTTCCGGTCATCTTTTCCTTTTCATGTTAAGTTTTCCTTTTAAACTCCATTCATTCTTTTTCTCATATACAATACCTACCTACTACAACATGGCGGCAGGAAGGTGTAAAGACGGCGGGGATAGGAACTGGGAATATTTCAACGATGTGATGGACGAGTCAGAACCGATTAACATGATGATGGGGAGGAAGGACGAGGAGGAAACTTATTGAAACTGGGAGGGCTGGGTATGGTGGGGCGAGGAAGGGAGAGCGGTATGCAGTCGTGGAAGGAGAGGAGGAAGAGAGCGATAGTGACTGAAAAGAAAGTGTTTAAAGTTCAAGTACCTGACTTCCTGAGGTGACCCTTTTGGTGACTTTCAATCCTCTGGCTTTAAGCAAGAGCACCTATCTGTGTATGTTGTGGGCTGCAGTGACTCGGTCTGTCTACCTCCTACAAGCCTGGCATTCTATAGGCTCATTTGGGAACATTGGAAGAGCACACCTCCTTTAGAGCCGTTATAGACATTGGGTCCGGGTCCGATCCTTCTTTGTGACGACGGAAGTCGATGTTTCCTCTATAAACCCCTTCTCATACGGCAGTCATTTATTCATAGGCGTGAACTTTCGAGTGGACGCCAAACCATCAATCCGGGTAGGTGGCCCAGAAGATCAACTCACTGCTGCGGTAGCTTTTGAGTAGTCATGGCCGAGCAGGTTCTAGAAAGACGGATAGCTTTCGATTAAATTTCGCAGGAAACTGGACTCAATTACTGGTCCACTGTGCTTTGGCTTCAAGCCCTTTCAAACTGAGGAAGAAGCTAGGCAGCCATACGAAATGTTTTTCATCAGTCCCGCCGGCTTTTATGGAATTAATCGACTTCATGGCTTTAGTTGGTAAGGAAATGAACTGACGAAGCTTCAAGCTTAGTAGTGTAGACGTTCCTTCCTTAAGGTATGCAAGGAGAAGACAACATCGATGCGAAGAGCGGAACTTGTTAAAAGCCCCATCCGCCGCGTGTGCTGTTGTAAATTAGGTACCTAGGTAGCAGGTAGGTGACCGTCAAGTGCTCGTATGTAACGGGTATCTCATTCATCCTTTTCTTGAATACTACCTCTACTACTGCAGGTAGGTACCTCTACCTATCTGCCAACTCGTCGAAAGTAGAAGGGTTCAATCATTCTTCGGACCGAGATATGTGATGTAACCATCGACGCTCCATGTTAACAACCCTTTGACTTTTACCGACATGGAAGAGAAAAGAAAAACGGAAAAAAAACGAAAAAAGAAAAAAAACAAAAAAAAAAACATGCATGCTGATGATACTCTTACTTTGGCACACGACTCCAATTCGTAACTCATAAAGCCCACTCCTCCTTGTCCTCATTCTCTTTGACAAACGGCTCGTCGATCCGCTTGATGGCATACTCGCTGCAAAGAATACTGTTATTTCATTCACCACATGTTAGCACAGATACATCCTGCTATAGTCTTCTCTCTCAGAGAGATGGACGAAACGGGAGAGAGAAAAGAAAAAGAAAAAAAAAAAAAAAGACTTACCAAGCCTCCCCAACCAACCCATCCAACTCCCCAATCATCTCCTCCCTCTTCCTCCCCTTCACCAACCCTCTACTAATCTGTACCTGACACTCTTTAATCCTCTTCGCCTTGCCCGGCCCGGCCTGTTCAAGGACTCTCTTCCCCAAACAATCCGAGTGAAAGGCATGTTGACAAGGAAACACAAAAAACTGCCGACTTAACAACGGCAAGCCACACACATAACATTTTTCGCCAGGTTCCACAATCGCATACCGCTGATCGAGCGCCGCGATATCGACTTTGATGTTGGTAGCGGTCGCCGCGCTCTCGTCCATTTCTCGTCGGAGGGAATCAATGTTGCGCGAGTACTCTTCCAGCGCAGCGCAGATTTCCTCCTTGAAGTCGTCGATGACGACAAAATCAGGGAAAAAGGGAATGAGGTCCTCGATTTTGAGCAGGTCGCAGCGCCGCAAAAAGTCAATGGCGGTTTTGATGCCGTTGGATTGGGAAATGACTTTCTTCGCGACGGCGAGCCAGAGTTTCTTGCGCAGGGGCGGGTTGGAGTGGGCGCGCTCGGCGACGATAATGGCGAGGTCGATCTCGTCGTGGGCTAGGGCGAGTTGGACTGCTTGCAGGTACTGTCCCATTGAGGTGTAGATGTGCGCGCACGAGAGCACGCGGTGATGCTGGATACATAGGCGGAGGGCGAAGTCCGGGTCGAAGCGCGGCTCGTCGCCTTGGGATTCGAGGTAGGAGAGTAAGGCTGATTCGTCCTTGGATGTGGACGGGTGTGCGGCGTAGATGGAGACGAGGGTGTTGTGGACGGCGGAGTCGGTGGATTGGAGCTGGTTGACGACGTAGAGAAGGTAGCGGATAGCTTGGTTTTGCGACAGAGGGCCCTTGTAGTTGCGGTCGTATTCGAGCAGAGCCGGGATTAGATTGCGCGGTTCGAGGTTGGCTTGCCGCATGAGGATATCGACGAGCTCCGCGGCGACGTGCGTCATGAGTACGCTGCTATAACTGTAAAAGACCTCCGGGTCGGTCTGGCGTTGGAGCACCCGGAGTGCTTCGGACCACCGCTCTCGCTGGACCCAGTATGAGAGGACAAAGTGGTAGTCGTTGATGGCGTCGGCGTAGTAAAGGAGTTCTTCTTCACGGCCGTGGCTGCCAATGACTGCGTACACGGTTTTCCGATCGAGGTCCGATTTGTGTCTGTTGACAAATTCCTGGTACTCTGCTCGCACAACATCCAGCTGTTCTCTCGTTTGTGTCGGGTTCAATGTCTCGGAAAGCTCAGCCCTGGTGATGATTGTATCATCGAGCGAGTTGAGTTTAGCCATAAAGATCTCTATCAGCCAGCTTGCAATCATTTGCCTTTGCATGATGTAGCTCTTCTTGAAGGTCGAGAGTTTCCCCAAAAGATACTTGCGAAGCGCATCAGGCTGGTTGTGGTCAATGAAAGCGAGCGCCACTTCCTCAAAAGGCTTACTGCTTTTGCCATAGACCCCGGCAGCCTCGTTGTACTGCCCCTTGCTGAGCAGATAATCGCCCGATGCTATCGCGACCGCGTCTTTCTGTGCTGGAGTATGAGCGTGTTTGAGAGCCGCGTCGAACTTCTTCAGTTTCAGCATGATCTTCCAGATGTCCCTGTCTTCGTCTCTTGGGACGATCTCGAAGATCTCTTGCGATGTGAAAAGCCAGTATGTGTTCTTTTGGACATCGACACATACACCGATAGCTTTTTGTCCTTGATTGAGTATCACTTGATCGTAGACTATATCCCCTGTCAACCTGTTAGCGGCGACCACTCGGTCGCCTATCAAGCTAATGATGTGCCAATGCGTAAGGGCGATGGCGTTGATGTAGTCGTTAGAAGCTGTCATCCTCCTGCCCCCAACCCTTTCCGGAGTCATCAGCTGCGCCCTGGGCAGGAGCTGGGCCTCATTGAAGACCTTGTTGCCCAACTCCGAGGTAAAAGGGCTGAGCAGGAGCTGCCCATGGTAGACTCCATGTGAAGATAACCAAGCAAAGACTCTCTCGTTCACATCACCATCGTGGGGTCTGGTGGTGTCTTGGGGGTGGTCCGGGGAGATCACCAGGTCCGATGTCGCTGCTGTGGCTGCCGTCGACCGTGGGAGCTCATGGACAACAGGCTGCTCGGCTTCAAAGAGCTTTGCATAGATGGAACCACCTCCGTCATTTTTGCCTACTTTGCCTACAAGGTGGAACAGCCTGCTCTGGGTACTGATCATGATGCGCCTGATGTCTGTCCCGGCGCCGGGCAGGGTATCCACCCAAAGACCGGTAACAGGACCATCCGGAAGCTTGTGCAGGACCTTTAGGTATTTCTCCTCTTTGCGGTAGAACTCGGTCGAGTGCTCGATGTAGCCTTCGTATACGTTGCCGTCGGATGCGCCAATGAGAATCTCGCGGGTCGAGGCGGTAGGTAGCGAGGGGTTCCATGCAATGCTTTCGATTGAGACTCCTCGTAACCGGGCCAGCGGGCGGGGGTGGCGCGACTGCGAGTGCAGATAATAGTTCTCGCCTTGAGACGTGCAGATGATGAGATGGGAGGCGGTCGGGTCGAGGAACATGCGCCGGATGACGCCAACTTCGGTCGGCTTCTTGGGAAGGTCGATATCTGTATGGTTTGTTTATTAGCGAGACAGGCCCACTTCCCGTTGACTTCCATGTCTCTGCCTACCGTCGATGTCTTCGGGCTTGTTCAGGTCGATGCGCAGAATGCGCCCGTTGGAGAGGGCCAGTATCAGGACATTGTTGGCTGTCTGGGCCGAAACAAAGTCGGCGGCTATGGAGAATTGAAGCTGGACCTGCTCGACATCAAAGATGGGTAGTAGTTCGTCTGCGAGACCGGGAACATCGCTCGAGGCCACGAAGCCGTTGGACGGGTCGAAGGCCATGATGGTTCAAGCGTGAAGTTGTTGGGTTGCCGGCGCCGTTGTTCCTTATCGCCCGATCACTAGGCTTTCATGGTCGAGTTGCGCCCAGTCCTCAGCTTGTAGCGGCCGCGCAGTCAAGGGAAGTTGCGCATATGCGAGATAGCGGATGACGTTTCGACTTGTCGGGAGCGGTACCGAGGTCTCTCATGCACTGGAACGTGAAGTTGGAATAGAGAGTAGAGATGACAGAGGTCCGGTAACCTTGTTGTTGGTACCTAGGTACCTATGAGCTAGCGTGATGGAGGTCACTACCACCACCTGTCCACCCTTCCACAACAGAACTCACAACTCACAACGCCCGGGAGGTAGACGGGAGCGGGGACAAAGGTACCTAAGGTACCCCTACCTACACTACGTAACCCCGCGTTCCCGCGCTGCACTTACCCTAACCCTCGATACATGCTCATACCTTGTGGTGTTGGTCTGGAGGCCGGCCTTGAAGCGAAACTGCTTCTGAAGCTATTCCAGGTCCAATGCACTCTGCAACCTGTCCGTTGATCCCATCACCATTAATCAGCCAAAATAAAAGAATACGCAAGCTAGGATTTCAGCATTCCGACCTTGACTAAACCAGATTGTCCCGACCTGGAACCAAAACAATGCAAGATCCATGTACTTTCCTCACAATGCTTGCTTCTGGTCCCCTCACCGTCGAATTTCGAGGCACCAATGTGTTTGTTCTGGCTGAAAATGTGCTTGATTGTGTACTGAGCGACCCGGCCCCGTTGGGTACGAAGACTGGAAGGTTCGGGACTCGGAGGTATGATGGCGCCAAGCCCCGGCACCCGGGTTTGCTCCCTTCGGACGAACAGCGCACGGACTTGACGGTACCCGATGGCCGATGGTGACGCACAGAGCCGTACGGCACGGCGCCAAAGGTCTGGTCGGCTACTAGCCGCACTGGAGCCGGGCAAACTGAGCTTTAGGAGATCAAACAGAAATCTCGTTCAGCAGTTCGCAAACCGGACAACGGAACGATGAAAGGGCAACACACTTCCAGATGGAGGGTCGGGCAGGACAGTTCGTCTGGAATTCATGCTGCCGGACATCTGATGTCGAGCTGTGCCGTCTGGGCGCATCGGCCATCGAGAGTCCTCTCGGCGGTGTTTCTGTCCAGTTACCGGCATAATTTCACGGTCTCACGATTTTGCATCGGTCGGAGTCCTCTTGCCTGGGGCCTTTCAATCGTTAGAATGGTTGTAATAGACCAAAGACGTTACGACCTGTACACTACAACTTGGGCATACCCTTATGACACATCAAAACATCTTGATTTTATCTTTGGGCCTGATTTTGAGGGCAGTTCGTGGATGACGAATGCCTAGGTGATTATGGCTGATGTTGTTTTTTTTTTTTTTTTTTTTTTTTTTTTTTTTTTTTTTTTTTGTACCAGCCTTTCCTTAGCCAAAGCGAGCCGTATTGGACTGTTCATCTTGGGTTTATTAGTACGACCACTTTTTCTTTCAACTTGAAAACCACTTGTTTCCAGTTGTTTGCCGCTTGCGCAGAAAAACAAACGAAGGGAGGGACATGAGAAATCCTAACCGCTGTCGGCATAGTCATCGTTCATCCAATCTTGATGATCCGCGGTAAACTTGAACGTTGACGTCCAACCACAAGTCCACCCAACAGGGCAGTGTTATTGCGGGGATTGTTCAGCGCAGTTCGTTCATGGACCTCTCCCAGCACGCCCAGTCCTGATCCCCGGGCGCAGCACGCAATAATGCTCCACGGTTTCCACCGCTTCGAAACACGCCAAAATTCGCATTAGAAAAGAAATACGGCGATCCCCGGGCCACTAGCAGCAGCGGACAGACGATACGAGGGAGCATCATGGTGTACTTTTGCAGGGATCGGAGGAACAGTGATCCTAAAAGGCAGTGCAGCAGTGCTCTCACCACGGAACGCCATTGCTCACATCGAAAGTCACAAAGAGGTACGAGAGTCATTATGTTTCCAAAAGTGGTTCCATTCAGCTATCATCGTCATAAACATTGGACGATCAGTAGCAATTAGAATTTAGTAAATACAAAGATAGGATATGAGTACCATTCTACCACGTTTCTTCGCACGCTGTCATATGCTAGTAGAAAGAATATCCGCATTCCCCAATAAAAAATGACAAAACAAGAGACTCATGGCCCGGTAGAGGTATAGATAGGGTATAACGAGATCGTCTTTATTTCGAGATAGTGTAAACCAAAACAGGACATAAAGATAATGCTCGCTATGGTATATGAATAGGTATATAAAATTGGTGCTTCCTCTCTCTTGTCCCGGAATGACCAGCGCGCCCACTCTCCAAAAAGGATGTACATGAAAAGACTTGATCCATGTCATGAAAAATAATTGATATGTTGTTGTTGCGGTTGCGCGCCCCATGCAATGGTACAGCCATCCAGGCCCTTTCTTGTTCTTCTAAAACCCAAGGATATCAAAGATACAAAAGAAACTGCTGATTCTGCGTCGTCCGAAGGTCGATTCCGAACCACGCATTTGTTGAACTCCTGTTCCTCGTCACTTAAAAGTGAATTTAAGCGAGGAAGACGGTGAGGAGACCGGCAGCAGCGGCGAGGAGGGCAGAGCCAGTCATGGCACCGGCACCGGCGGTGACGGGAGCCGAGGGGCTGGGGGAGCCGGTGGTGGGGACGGTGCCGTTGCCAGCGGGAGGGGCGAAGCCGCCGGAGGGGCTGGCGGGGGGGTTGGCGGGGGGAACGACAACCGAGGCGGTGGCGCAGGGCACGTCAACGGTCTCGTAGATCACGGTGGGGATGACGGTGGTGATCTGGGTGGAGATGGTCTTGACGGAGTGGCCGCACTGCTCAGGAGCGGGGGCAACGGGAGCAGCAGTGCTCAGGGTGGTGGGAGGGACGCCAGTGCCAGCGGGCTGGGTAGGGACGGGAGCCATGGTGGTGCCGTTGGAGAAGGCAGCGGAGGAGCTGGCACCAATGGCGGCGACGGAGGTCTCAGTCACAGGGCGGACGGTGGTCGCAACAGGGACGGTCTCGGTGACGACCTGGGTGGACTGGGCCGGGCAGTTGGGGACCGAGGGAGGGCACTGGGTGATAGTGCGGACCGAGGTGCTGTAGATGGTGGAGGTGGTGACGGGGTAGACCGACGAGGTGACGACGGTGCTGCGAGCAGGGCAGTTGGTCACCGTGGGGGCGCACGAGGTGATGGTGACATAGTCGGTCTGGTAGACAGTGGACTGGGCAGCATCCTCAGCGAGGACGGCACCGGCCATGACAAGAGCAGCAGCGGAGAAACGCATTTTGTCGGTTGGGGGGTTGTTTAAAAGGGGTGGGTTCTTGAAGAACGGTGTGGTTGGTGTTGGAAGAGAGTGTTATTAAAAGCAATGTGCTTGAGCGTTGGTAAAGAGTGGACGACCGAAGTCAAAGTTGAGACTGAAGCTTGAAGTTGGCTTGTTGGCTGGAGAAGAAAGAAGAGAAGAGAGATGGATAGGTCGAGGAAGCGCAAGTGTTAAATATCCAAGATGGCGTCCATCTGCCCAGGCTCTCCAGTCCAATTCGCGGGTTGACCCCAGCAGTTCGTGGTTGGGTCCCTGGCACCCACATTGCAGAACGGGAAATTAACGTTGCCATCATGGACACTAGTTCCAGGGGTTCGGTGGAGGAGACTTGTCCCCTGTCCTCCTCCTCCCTCTGCCCTCGAAGCATCGCGCTCACCTCCACATCGCTGGCTAGCCCGGGCGTGTAGAAAAAACATTGATCCAATGACGGCCGACCACTGTGGTTTCCCATCATGCGTCGCGCAAATCGCCGTACCAATTCGAGCAGGCCAGCAACTCGCCAGCAACAGGGGTGCAACCCAGTGTTCACCACTTGTTCACCTGCGAAAGACAAGCCCCCGACGTTTGCTGGCATCCGTTGCCGTAGCAAACAAAACGCTCATTCGTGATTTGGCAGCCCTTCGAGCTCTCTCGTGTACGTATTAGGGGATGGCCATTTTGCTCGACAGTTGAAAACGGCAGAGCGACACGGCTGACGGGTAACGGTAGTGTAGAATGCACCCAACTCATTACGGCGCTTCCTGCAAATGATCTGTGATCAATTTTTAGCAAGAATACCGCACACGTGAGAATGTTCGCCAATCCTGTTTGCCTCTGCCGCTTTGTCTTTCACAGAGCGCCTGTGAGGGGAGTTCTGGGAAGCCAATCTCGGCTGCTGAAGGTGTGTGTGGTCCCCTCGGTTCCTCACATCAACCGCCATTACTATTGCCCTGAGGTGCACAGAAGGACATCCAGGTTGAAGATGGTCCGTAACGGCGTGTGATGCTGGTGTCGACACTACCGATAACCTAGACAAGGAAGGGAAGGTAGCGAACAGACTGCTGAAGATTACGGCGACGTGGGTGAGAGATGGCGGTCAATGAGAGGGGATATTCATGATAGGGACCAGACAGGCATTGTCCCCGGAAATTGAAGCCCTGTGAAGAGTAAGTCCGGCATATCAGGAAGCTAAATGGTCCTCCCACTTCCGGCTTGTTTGGTCCCCTAGCTAAGGTGTTACAATAGTGTAGATTGCACTAAGTAACTTCCCTGGCCATCGTCATCGCCAACTCCATCTCCGGTGGCCTTTGACTGTGGCCTGCATGTTGGCTTGACCAAAGGTTTGCTTCTGACAAAAAGCCAACGGACCCCAGTGGTGGAAGCAAAGATGAAGAGGCCGGGGTTTTGGAGAATTCCGGATTCTGATTGGGAGCAGCACAGGTGTGCCGGTGCAAAAGGGTAATTCTGACAACAACGACTGTGTCCCATATCAAAACGACTGTACTGCGTAGTATACCAAACATGCCATAATTCGCCCGCCGTAGAAGTTAGGGTCAGGGTAAGTTACCTTGGTATAAGGGTTAGCGGCTAGGGTCAGTCAATGTCAGTTACCTAGGTTTAGTCCGGGGTACAGGGAGCAACCTAGTGAGAGACCCCCGCGTGAGTACCTCTATCGATGGATCCCTTTCGTTGTATGTAAGAAAGGTGCTTTTGTTGTGGTAGAGGTATGGAACCTGAATGTAATGACTTTCGGTCATAACTTGGTGATGGCGAGTGCGCAGACAGAGGTATCACGGATGCCAAGTGGAAGCGGGGACAGTGCCAAGGCTGCTGTTTTTATATGTACATAGTATATAGCATAGTGTAATCACACAATCGTTTAGTTGAATGGGTTCACTGAAAGGGTGTGTGGACGGCGCTTTGATGGGGCCAATGGGGTCCAAAGATGCTCGGTGGGTCTGTGTTACCCCACTATATGCAGGTACATACCAGCCAAATTTGGCAGGCGCGGTTGGATGTCCTCTCCCTGGCGAAACGCAAGCGAGATCGCAATTTCACGGGACGACAACTTTGCGAATTGTGACTTCATTGGTCGACTCTTTCCACCTTGATTTGCACTTCCAGCTCCTGCCCATCTCCGCGTCCTGTTCGAAGCTGTCCACCGCTCCAATCTTTGGTCAAATGAGCTTCTCCAGACATGATCTCGTCTGGCGATCTCTAGACAACACGACCGGGCGCCTGTTTGATAAACCTCTTTGCCTGTGGAGAGCACCGCCCTCGCCTCATGAGGAAATCGATGGACGGCGAGACCTGCGCGCTTCGGAAGTCGCTCTCGTCATCGAGTAATGCCTCTCGCATAATCGATCGACACTATCTCCCCCCTTTTTTCGGTCCTATTATTTACCGCATACCCGTACTTTCATCGGTTTCTATCTTGGGGTAACGAAACAACATTTCGCCTCCAGCCGGCCGACATGACTGAAGATCTAGATCCTCGACCTGCATCTTTCTGGAACGATTCCACAACATGGGGCACTGTGCAACAATCAACACCAAAAAACATACCTCCACGCACCACCATCTTGTTGTACCAATAAATAGGCAGCGCCCGACTTTGAGACGCTTCGGCTTCTGTTGGCGTCGTAGGCTCCCGTCCCGTCACGGTCCCCAATGTCACACCACCAATCAATGTTACCCAGCGGTTCCGCTTCCCGACCAGAAACGTTTAATCAAAGCAAGTCGAAGTCCTGTCAAGTCTCCTCAGTGCTCATTTTATGTAACGCCATGTCAGGTCCGAGAGAGGCTTAATTTCCACCCCGCGAGACGGCTTCAAATCGAATTGCTCAACTCTCTCGGCAGCGGCACGGCGGAGTCGTGTATCCACTTCGTGACCTCTTCTTCAATATCCAAATTCATGCTCAACCCCGGAACATTCATGCTTCCCCGGTCCCTCTGCTTGCTTCTGATTGAGAACCTTGGGACCCCTATATACCCTGTGTCGCCACCGGTTTGATACGTTGAAGGCTGTCCAGATGATTCATGACAGCATTTTGCACCATCTAGCATCCTTCGTGGTGAGGACTATCGAGAAATCTCAGTCGTTACGCTGCAGTCTTCTTGTTTCTCCGATGAAATTGCTAACTCGGACTAAAGTCACTATTAGGCCAGTCTATAGGAAAGTTCCTCTCTAGCAAGCAAAATTACAGGAGTCTCTTGAGCCAGATTGCAGCTGGTTTACATACATTTTCGATATATAAACAGCCAGAAACATGAATGGGGACATTGACCTACCTCAGAATGACGTGCGTGTTGAGGTTCGTTAGGAAAGGTCGAGTGTCCTTGCCTCTTTATGTCAACCATCCAACATCGCAGTGTTTCCCTTCCTTCAGCATCCCGGCCGGTCATTGACGTCAAACGAGCCGTGTCCAAACAGCATCTCGAAACAGTATCTCGAAACAAAACGACAATTTGCGCATACGGTCATCCGATGGCAGGGCCAGAGGCATAATGTCCTCGAAGACAAGCGTCTTTTGGCTACGACTATCATGATAGCATCGTCAGCCTCATGGTCGGTCACATATACAGAGAAAGCTAACAAAAGTGATTGTCATGCGATATGGTCTCGGTGGCGTCTCGGGTAAGCACCCTTCTTCCATCAAGGGCCTTGTCAGCACCCATGTAACTGATCGTACCGTCGAACACAGGAAAATCCAAGCAGCTATCATTGGACATCGACGAAACCACATTTGTTTGACGACATACGAGACAGCTAATGACATCTCACGAGACCCAACTCACAAACGAACCCAAACACACCGACTCGAAACATTTCCCGCAACCGACCGGCATCGCCCGACTCTGGGCCCGGGGTAACCATCAGGCTTGAACGGAAACATGTTTTCATGACAGGTGTGATTTGGCCCACGCTTGTCGAAACTTCGCCTTGTGAGCACGAGAACCTCCGTCACAGAAGTCATCCACTTGGAATGTTGGAGAATCTTGGATTGCCCACGCAGACTATACTTCCCTACATGGAAAGAGACATCGAAACTGAAACACGGCTTTATCCATCACCTGGACCCTGCAGAATATCCGTCGTGGCTTGATACCGTCAACGGTCATCCTTCACGAGAAAATGGGAACGGGTAGGGCTGGGTAACGAGAAATGGCTTGACGAGTCGGAGTGTGTCTACGCCATTCAGTGGTGGGCGGCCTACATACGACCACATCAGGCTACGCGACGCTATCACGCTTTAGGCCATTCGACAGCCAGACGACATCCAACATACGCGAGAATTCAATAGGGACGCCATCGTCATTGGCCAGTTACAACATCCAAGGTACACATGGTCCGTGCACGACCCAATACCAACCTCCCATTGTATCATCGTCACCATCCATTGGCCTCCTTGGTTGCCTTGTGCTGAGCCTCTCTCCTGCGCAACGAATGCGCAGCATCATCCTCAATCTGGCTTATGTCTCGTACCATGTCTGCTCCTCGAGATGGCGACCTCCCAACGCTCGGAGTCATGGATGGAACCGTACTTGTACAACTGGGCGCTCGCTCAATTCCTCTTCGTTACTCACTAGCAACCTGGGAAAAGAACACTGGTCCTCATTAGCTGCGGCTTGTCCTACTCCAAGATTGGAAGAGCCTCCCAACACTCTTCCTGCTTGTTATCTTCTTCACGCTTATCTACTGCTAGGCCCGCTATCACTTCGATCATAGATTCTCACGAGGCATCACGACTAGCGTTTCATCTGCCAAGCGTCACGCCCAAGTTGTCTCCAGGTCTTCTTTGACCCCGCATCACCGTCTACCCAGCCACTTGAAGAGTGTGGTTGCCTAAGCTGGCCATCGACGCGGAACCTCATAGAATTCGTTCGACGAGAGTCGTAACCAATTTGAGCATATCAAGTTCCAGCAAGACCCCCGCAGAGTCTACTCAAGGTCTTCTTGTGAGACATTTCTCATCCTTTCTCAATTCGAGTATGAGGACTAATACACCTCAGAGTGTCCCGCGTGGTTATTATCCCTGTGTATGAGACGGACAAGGACCCCCGAGACATCCCGACCACATCTGCCTCCCATGGCTTCATCTTCCGCAGATCCTAAGGCATACAATCTTGCCGCTGGCCCGTACAACTGTCCGGACTGTACCAAAATCTTCGCCAGACCCTGTGATCTGAACAAACACAGCAAATCTCACACTCGACCGTTCAAGTGCCAACATTCTGATTGCAAGTACGCCGACCTTGGCTGGCCAACACCGAAGGAACTCGAACGCCACAACAACGATAAACACTCTCCTAACCCGATTATCTACGCTTGCGAGTACGAAGGTTGTGACTACAAGTCCAAACGAGAATCGAACTGCAAACAACACATGGAGAAGGCCCATGGATGGCTGTACACTAAGAGCAAATCCAATGGTAAACAGCCCGCGGATAGCTCTCCGGTAGCACATGTTTACCGGCTAAAACCTGGACCGCATCCTGCCTCAGCATCTTCTACTCCACTTCTCAAGCAGTCACTTGATATTCCGCCTGTACCCAATTATCATCAGGACTTTACCCTCTACCAGGATGACACCGACCACTCCGTCAGATTTGATGACGATGATGAGGATACAAGTCCCCATCACGATGCTCCTCAAGTCATCCCTTGGACATCGCCTGCTACCCGTCTACGGAGAAACGGAACTATGATCGAAAGATTTGATCAGACATATCACGGTAGCCAACCTCTCAGGGTCAGTGATGATCCGGTTGACCCATCGCTCGCCAATATTGAGCCGCAAATCAGAACATCTGCGGCACCTCCATCCACAGAAGCATGCGGGAATGGCGGCACCAATACCTCGGAGACTTCGAGGCGAACTCGATCGTCGAGAGGACCGTCAAGAAAGACCGCAGACCGCCAGCGTATCAGAAAAAGGGATGCCAAAGAATCAAGAAAGAGGCTCAAGCCAGACCCTACAGAAATTCTCGGAGATGACGCGGAATTCACTGACAGCAATATGCCGTGTATCTTCCGCCATGCACACCCTCATCTTTACAACAGGGAGACCAGAAACAAGTCCGATCCGTGCCATACGACGCATCGAGACATCTCAACTCTAGCAAGACATCTGCTCCGACCGGCACATCGCCTCGGTGTGGACCCCCGGATGATCTCATCATTCAAGATTCAAGACAACAATTACCCACACCCACGGGTTGGCCTTTGTCGCCGTTGCTGGCAGGCTTTCTTTGACCCCTTAGAATTCCGGAATCATCTGGATCTCAAATGCGAGAAGGTGTCTAAGGGGAAGCGGGAGAAGTGGCGTATCATGTACGATCTTTTCACGCCATTGGTCCGGCTGCATAACGAGCAGAGCAGCCTCTTACAGGACCTTGATATGGCGGGACAAGAAAACACAGCACACCGAACAAGAGGGTCGATCAACATGTCGAACAAAGCTGGAAATGATTTTCGCTTGGTATCTGGCACTGTCGCTCTAACCAAGTACGGGACATCAGTTCCCTCCAGTTCTAGTCTTGAGAATGAGATACAAAAACTGAGAGAAGAAAACCGGCAGTTGAGGGAGTCACTATTAGCCCAAGGCCCTAGGGGGGAGTCAGTGGCAAGTACTGTTCACAGCAGCGCTGTCCATAATGCATTCGAGATGGCATCCGGTTCCGGACTAGTCTCTGCGCCTCGGATGCCCCATTCCAAGGATTCGAACTCGGATCAGGAGAGCCTAGTAGGATACATGGATTCTCAATCCACGGATGTCGACCGCGATGGCTTGATGAGCGAGACACCGGAAACTTTTGTGAGGCAGAAGCCAGGACACAGCTTGCCCTCCCACACAACCGTTCACCACGTCCCAACAAGCCCGTCCCCGCTACTGATCGAACCCTTCCAAGATATATCCAACTTCAGTCAACTATCAGCTAACGTGTCCCTCTTCTCTGCCCGAAAGCAACCCACCTCACTCGCCGATTCCGCCTACGGCACCTGCACTGACCCAAGGCGAGGAAGTCTGGGCGAGCCCGGGCAGGCAGGATGCGCAGATATCTTGAGAGGTCCGCACAAGAGTTGGTTCGATAACTCAACCCAACAACGGCACGACGGCGGGTCGTTGACTCTGTTTGGCGATTACCAATTTGGTCACAACAACAACTCATCAGCGAACAACGAGAGCATTCACAACAGGACGCCATCCTCATCCACTCCAAAGGTAGGGCCAAACATGACAGTTATTACAACCCAGACGGCCCAGCAGCAACCTCAGCAACAAGATTTTCAAGGGTGGTCCAACCCCAACCCTTTTGCCACGACCTCAACCTCTCAACCGTCTCATAACTTCTTTGAAGATGCGTCATTTGATTTCTTTATGGCAGCGCAAACGGATTGCGGCGAAGAAACTGGTGGGTATAACCCGACTAGTTCCTCGCAGAATTTCATTTTTCCTTCCATGTGATTTTTGAGGTCATAGATGGCGTAGCTTTATAGGGTTTGTCAAAGATTATTGAAGTGAGGAGTCTGGAGAATAATTTCATGATACATGTCACGAACGTTGTTGAATGAGGCGTCGGCTCTCTCTTCTCTTCTTCCCCCAAGGTTACTGGTGCATTTCGAAACCGGAAGTTGGATCTCCGGTATTCCTTTCTTCTCAGTTTCGGGCGGTTTGCTGATTTTCAGTGGGTTTTTCATTGGAGGATTTCTTCGCAAGTCCCTCAGCGTATCAACTTTCTGGATGGATTTCCATCTACCTCTGAACTTTTATGACCATTTTGTCCTCATCATTAAGATTTTCTACTTCATTTTTATCCTCAAGGCATTTACATCACTCATCCCCATTATGTATCAGATGTGTATGAGATATACTATCATCATACGAGGGTTACGTAAAGTGTCCGACGAGATCATAACATTCAGCACAAGTCTAACGGACACATAAACCTCCTGAGGCGTTGATAGAGGTTTTTACAATCTAAGAAGGATCTAGTAGTATGTAGCTTCGTCTTTATAGGGAAAGTAGATGAGGTAAACATAAACACGCGCAACTTGGCTTGGAAATAAGTTCCGTTCCTACTTCTGCTGCTGCAATGTATAGACTCTTCAGGGAATGCCACTAAGGGGGGAGCAATTGAATTTGAATCAAAATCGGCCAGTGTCTAAGAAGCTTTGAATTCTGGTTCATGAGCAGCTCGCCCAATAGTTGCAATGGTCGAAGAGAGCGTAGGTGGCAGCACATATTGAAGAGCGGAAACTGATATACAAGAAGTACGAAACGTTAACTGGCCTATCCTAGCTTCTCAAGGGTTCTTTTACTTTTTCCTCTATTGGTCTTCACAGTCTCCTAACCGATAGCTAGGCAAGTATACGACATTCAAGTAAGTCAAGCCGAGAGTAGGTTTGTCTACGAATGCTAATAAGGATAAAGATATAAAGTATATCTGAATGAGATCGGTTTGACATTTGGGGTTGTGGACGTCGAGATAGTTTCACACAGATAATCAACGACGCTTTATTTACTTTTCCCCCATCAGCTTAAGATCATCAACCCTCATTTTTTTTCGTAAAAACCTGCTGAATTTTATTGGATCCTTTTTATGTACCAAATACCCACTTCCTTATGATACCCGAACTTTCAAAAGCAAACTACACCACCACCCCATCTACTCTAGCACGTCTAGATAGAAAGCTGAGCAGTCTCCGCCTTGGACAAAGTCTCCTGGTACCTGCTCAACTTCTCAGCAACCTGACCATTGCAGTAATCCTCCACAATCCTGGGGCAGTTGCCAATGAACAGAGCAGGGTCAACAAGCCCGTCAATCTCGCCCCAAACAGGCTTGAAGAACTCGGACTTCTTGATGCGCTCCAGCAAGTCATTCTTACCACCCTCCTGCTTGACCACGGCGCTAGCCTGGTGGGACAAGACGCGGATCTCCTCGTGGGCGTCCTGGCGGGAGACGCCGTGCTGGGCGAGCTTCATGAGGATGGACTCGGTGGCCATGAAGGGCAGCTCCTGGTCAATGTGGGCGCGGACGACGGAGGGGTAGATGACCAGGCCGTTGGTGACGTTGTCGAGCGCGAGCAGGATCGAGTCGGCCAGCAAGAACATCTCGGGGATGTCCATGCGGCGGATGGCCGAGTCGTCGAGCGTGCGCTCGAACCACTGCGCCTTGAAGGTGTTGCTGAAGTTGACGGGCAGGTTGGCCAGCTTGCGGGAGAGGGCGGCGATACGCTCGGAGCGCATGGGGTTGCGCTTGTACGCCATGGCCGAGCTGCCAATCTGCGACTTCTCAAAGGGTTCCTCCATCTCCTTGAGGTTGGCCAGATGGCGGATGTCCGAGGCGATGCGCTCGGCGGTGGCGCCGATGGCGCACACGGCGTTGGCGACGCGGAGGTCGACCTTGCGAGTGTAGGTCTGCGTGGAGATGGGGTAGGTGGAGGGGAAGCCGGCCTTCTTGCAGAGAATCTTGTTGAGCTCGACGATCTTGTCGGCGTTACCCTCGAAGAGCTCGAGGAAGGTAGCCTGCGAGCCGGTGGTGCCCTGGGCGCCGCGGAACTGGAGGCGCTCGCGGACGGTCTCGATGTCCTCGAGGTCCATAACGAGCTCCTGGATCCACTGGCAGGCGCGCTTGCCGATGGTGATGAGCTGGGCGGGCTGGTAGTGGGTGAAGCCAAGGGTGGGGGTGTCCTTGTACTTAAGGGCGAACTCCTTGAGGTTCTGGATGACCTTGGCCAGCTTAGGGAGGATGAGGTCAAGAGCCTTCTGGATGAAGATCAAGTCGGCGTTGTCGGTGACTGTTTCGACTAGTTAGCGTGGTTCGTTCCCAGAAACGAACTAGTTATATGCGTACCGTAGCAGCTGGTGGCCTGCGTGATGGGAGGTCATGGTCAGCTCAGAGGTCTTCCCTGATTCAGGGAGAAATGTCAATTCACTTACACCCAAGTGAATGTGACCGGCAGCAGCGGGAGCATCCTCGCCATAGGCGTGGACGTGAGCCATGACATCGTGCTGTGTTGGTGAATTAGCAGAGATCTTTCGTCGTTTGCCTGTAGGGTAATCTTTTCTTTCTTTTACTTACACGGAACTTGTTCTCGTACTCACGGGCGACGTCGAAGGCCTTGTCGCTCACAGTAACGTGCTCGCGCATCTGTTGAATGGCCTCATCGGGAATGTTGAGACCCAACTCCTTCTCGGCCTCGGCCAGCCAGACCCAGAGTTGACGCCAGGTGGAGGCACGGGTGCGAGCCGAGAAGATGGACATCATCTCCTGGGACGCATACCTCGTGGCGAGGGGGGTCTTTGAGTGGCATAGTGAGTTAGCTTGGTGTCACCTGGGTTGAGTCAAACTGGCATAGGCCTAGGTGAAAAGAATTTTCAGGATCTCATGGGTAAGGGCTAGATCAGGCGTCGTGGTTGGGTCGGGAGAGACAAGGCCAAAGTGAGGGTATCGCGGGGTCGAAATCAACGCATGAAAGTCTTTTTCGGTTTTTTTTACCTGGTACTTGTCGTAGCTGGACATTTTGGCCTGTTATGAGTGTAAGCACTGGTCCTGTTTTCTATATTTTGCAAAGCAATGCTCACCGGGCTCTCTCTTCTTGTCGAGATATCCTGAAATGAGGAAGATGGAGGGGTAATTCAATGTTTCGAAGTGGGAGGAGTCGATGATCTGATGTCACTTATCAAAATTTCATTCACCAATCACTGCAGCTCAATCGGGGGACCCTTTTGGTCGCCCTGCAGCGCCCCCCAGGACAGCTCCATAACGTCCACCCTGCAGCAGAGGAGTCATTGCCCGTAGCCGCTCCCTCTTCCTCCGGGTCCTTGTAGGCCATTGGCCCCGCAAAATCCCGTGCTGTATGCCGAACATCGGCCCCGGACAGCGTCCGTCCCGGTCCACGAAAATACCAGACACGGTACGAGGGGACAGCCGATCATGCCAGGTGCAAAACATTCCCAACCCCTCTGACCTGCAAGCGGGGAAAGCGGCTCAAGACCAACCTCTACTATCCTTTCCTGTGGCCTTGTCAATGTGTCTCTCAACCGCTCTTCCGCGAGTGTTGCCCTCACTCACTGTCCCGTCCGCCAAATCCATTCCCTTCCGAGTTTGTCTCGACAGACTGCATGCCCTCCGGCTCGCGCAATGCTCACTCTCTTACCTCTTTCCATTGGGTCCGTTAATGCTGAGAAGGCAACGGATCGTCCAAGATGACGACCTTTGACCCCATTGCCACCATCATCCCCATGTGGGTTCCCCTTTTTGTCCGAAAAACCGCCACAGTGACCGCGGTAGACTCGTATGTCTGGTTACCATATTCTATTCGCAAAGTATCAAAGCAGTTCATTCTATCCGATCAAACTGACGTACAGGCATGAGAGTGTGCTTCGTATGCAGCAATAGGACCAGCTCAAGGCTCATGAGTTTGACGTTAGCGCTCATATACCCACGCCGGCAGGTCAGCAGTCTGAAAAAGGGAGAGACTTTGGGAATCGATACATGCGCTTGGGCTTGAGATAGAGCCACATCCCGACTACAGGCCAGGGATGTCAAGAGTAACACGGCCATGGAGGGTTCTTCGAGGAAAAGAAGAGATGATACAACATAGTGGTAGAGTCGCGTACCTACACCTGAGCCCTGGTAGGTTCGTTAGCGTGGTACATACAGGGGTTTCGACAGGGGAGGCGACAGGGAATAAAACTAATAAAATCACGTTGACGAGGCCTATATAGGAAGAACAGAAATAATAAAGCTACGGTAATCCAGTTAATTTGCCATACTAAATCCAGGGATTCCCAAGTACTATAATTATAGCCGTAATTTCAACCAGGTTAGTAGTCGGTATGCCTACTATTTGCTTTAATGACTGCTTAAAGCCTTCTGGGCATTGAGTATATTAGATGAAGAAGGTAGTCCTTTGGAACGGCCTCCTATACCTTTTCGATAGTTAGTTTGAGGTTATTCCTAGTCGGTCTGATTGGGTATTTATGTTCGATCTAGCGCTTTATATAGTTCTAAACGTTCTCAATGGGGTTGAGATTAGGGGAGTGGGGTGGCTAGTCTATAATAGTAGCGCTAGTAAAGGTATCCTTTATAAATGCCTTTATCGATTTCGAATTATAGTACGGTGCGTTATTCTATATAATAATAAAAGACGAATTCTCGAGTTAAAATTATTATAAAGAAGGGAGGATATACTTTTAGTAAGTGTCGCTAGTAATTGTACCCTACTCTTTATAATTTTAGAAGACGAAGGTGCTTTTTTTCTTACTTGTAAAATAAGTTTAGAATATCTACTTTCGAGCTCTCAATTTAACTTTAGTAAAATTATTAATCTTTTTATTTTTGAAGAGGGTAATAAAACAACGACCTTAAGTAATATTATTTACCTACGTTTTATCGGATTAAATCTAGGATTCCTATTCGAATAGGGTGAGGTTAGTGTACTATAAAGTGAATTTAAAGCGGAGACGACGGGTTTTATTAGATAGAGGAAAGTAGGTTGGTTATTTTACGTAATATATACCTTAAAATTCTATAACGGTTTAAATAAATTAGTAATAATATTTGTTAAATTCGGGTATACGCCTCCCTAATTTTACCTACAATAAGAACCTTTTTAACTTTATAGGTATATTTATATATTTAATAAGAATATTGATGAAGTAAGGCGGAATGGTAAGCGGCCTATTCCTAAAATAGCGATAAGGGATAGCCTTGGCGAAATAAATATATTATACCTATTTAATAGTAAGGTTGAGGGTAGTAGTAATATCTTTATACTCTATTTTTGTATACGTACGAAGAGCCTTATAAATAATACGTTCTTTATATATAATTGAGATAATTTTTTATTTAGTAGGGGTATATTAAGAGAAAGATAGTTTAGCCGGATTAATTATTGAGGTAGACTAGTCGGTTAGTAGTAGTGAAGATAGCGTTTCCTATAATAATAGGGAAATTACTTGCAGTTAAAGCGGAGTAGGACCTTCGAAATTAGGTGTAGATAACCGTAAGGGAGGTACTAGAAATAATAGTTAATAATAAATAATATATAAGAGTAATTTAAGAAGTAGGGTACTAATTAGGTATATTAGTATTAGTAGGGTGGGCAATACGACGGAGGGGAATATGCGGTAGGATTTATATATTGTACAGTAAGTTTATTATATTACCGTTATTGGTAGTATAGTTGCTACAACTATAGTCTAAGTTACCGGCGTAGACGAAGTTCTCCTTATTATTAGTAAATAAATTATCGTCTTAATTTTAGTATTAAATATTATTATTTTAAAGGGGAGGGTTAAAAATCTAGGAGAATTAATAAAATACTAAGATTAACGATAGTTAGCGATATAGGTAAAAAGTGGGTATAAAGGTGAAAGAGTGTGGGTTAGAGAGGGTTGTATATGAAAGAATGGATTTAAAAGAATATAGGTAAGAGAGGGTTATATATAATTAATTATTTGTTTATTCTATTTTAGCGTATATAGATTAAATAGTAATACGTACTATAAGTAAATAATATTGGATTTTATCGAAATTCCAATCGAAATTTAGCATTTGTACTACTTTTTGAATCTATTTGAGTGATTTGGGTGATTTGTGTAATTCTAGTTAAAATTGTGATTTTTTGAAAAATTGTTTATTTATTAGTATTTTTAGCGAGTAATTTTAAAATTTAATTAATTGAATGTATTAGAGTGCCTTGTAAGTGCGCTATAACTTTCCTATTATAAAAGGTAATAAGGTAGTGGTTCTAGTGATTTTGGTGATTCTAAGCCAGTATGAGCCAGTATAAAGAAGGGGGTTTGTGTGTGGCAGTTTGAATCCCAGATTCTCACCTTGAGATTAGGTGATTTCAGCCAATCAGAATGTGTAGATAGACTGGTCCCGCCGTACATTTACCCCTGTTACCCCCTTGTAGAAAAATATAGGGTTTAAACCACGCTAACAAACCTATAAGGGCTGATATGTACAACAGCCATCTACTTATGATCTGATGGAGAGCGATTGGGCTATTTTCAGTCTAGCGACAGTCACACAGCCAGATTTTGGGTCCTGGATGACGACGACACCTGGCTTCCCTGGTTTTCTGGCGGACAGTCCCATGGTCGACGGAGATTTTGCCATGCAATTAATGTATGCATCGTGGATGGTTGCAGAGACGAGGTTGAGGCGCTCAAGGTGCCCCTGTGCATGAGACATGTATTTCTCGTCATTTCGAAATGCGCCTTACACAGCATCCTGGCTGGGGGAGAAATTGAATCTGAGAAAGGAAGGAACCCAAGAAGGTGAAAGCTTCCGTTTCCAGTCCAGCACACCAGCCTACCTAGAGGTACCTACCCAATCTGGCATCTCGGAGGTTAGAGTAGCTCTTACCGACACTGGTAGAGGTAGCGCAGGCATCAGCTTCGTGATCCAGAAAGGGCTATCGGGAAAAACGGCAAACGCGGAGAAATTTGCTCGTCACTTCCTTCAATACCTCAAGGCCTTTCCCTCCTTTCACACTCACACAAACCCTTACTCAACTCGACATAAACTGAATTTGCTACAAGACCGCCGAGTGGACGGTGTCGAGATCTTCTCTTCCTGGCCACAAACTGAGGACGCGGAACGTATGGGGCAGCCAGGAACCAAATTGTGGTAACGTTCACCGAATGCTTCAATCACCTTCGTCCACAGTCCCTTCGTTGCAAAGAAACGACAGGTTTTCACGAAGCTGACGTTTCCTCGTCTTGTTGTTGCATTCACGTTTGCTAACCGACTTTTCGCAGAGCATGATTGTCGGTTCCTCTGCCGCTGCTCCATCACTACACCAATTCAGCCGAAATTCCGATATTGACAACGCTCCGGTGTCCCAGCGCGACATCCTTTTCCATTCGGCCTATTTGTGTATTTTGCCGCACCATCACCTCTTTTGGGGGTTATTCCCAATTTGCCCCTAACAATGAAGTCCGCCTGGCACTCGAAGACCCCAGATCTACCAGCAAGCGACTGGAATACCAGCCGGCCATGAGGCTGATCCCCTGCAAATTCTATCTTGCAAGAGAACAAACAGTCATACAGCTTTCCCATGTGAGTCAAGGGAACATCGATAAATCTCCGGATTAAAGGTCTACTTGACCATCTTCAAGTGAGTGCCACGGTCCTACTCGGGGATCATCTTTGCTATAACCACCGAATCCCCACAGATACCCCCAGATTGCCTCGGCCGATTTCTCGAAATGCTTACGCCGTGGCGCCGTGTATCATTCCGTAAGGACAATTCTTTGTACCTCCTCCTCAATTCCGACGTTGTGGCGGCGGTTGTGACGTCCGACTCGGTATCACCATGCTTGCCTACCTCTGCAATGGAACCTCGACATCCGTGAGCTTCTTGGTACCTTCTCTCCTCAACAAGTACAAGCAGACTGGGTGGCGCACCCGCGGAAACAGGAGCTTGTCACACAAATGACATGTTCACCGAAAGGGACAGCAGCTCGACAGCTCGTTCTTCCAGAATGGCGGATATTCTTAACCTTGTCGGCTACCGGCAGGAACTCTTCGCGGGATAGGGCCGGGGTCCCAGTCTTCCTCGTTCCGAGGCTGCATTTTGTACGAGTCAGGTTCCAACTACACATCATCTTCAAGCACTGTGACCCCATGTTACGAGCACCCAATATGCCTACCGCTGCTGCAGTGAGAGAAACGAAGCAAGACAAGATCCCGCAACTGCAAAGGCATGGCTAGCAGTGGGAGGGACGATAATTTGAACATCGCAACCTTGTGGTTGTATATTCTATCAATGCCACCTCTCCCAGAGACATGGCATCGTTGGTTTTCATTTATTTTGTTTCCCACCCTTCCATGCAATCTGACAGCTGACTCGAACTCAACATTACCGCGTGTACTTGCGATATATTTTGTCTTTCCACTCGCTAAATCAAGGCCGGCCAGTAGTCCTTGTTCCCATACTTTACGAGGCCTGGTTCTTCTTTTTCATCACCATTTGGCACACTCTGTGGCTCGTCTTTTTACTTTCACTTTTAGTCTTTATCGTACTGGCACATAGCCACTCGATGCCATACCCGCTGATGGTTATCGTCCTCTGACCGGTTACAACAATGAAGCTGTCTTCCGCTCTCGTAGCCACTTCGTTTGGCTTGACGTTTGCCCATGACACCAGCGGTGGTCAGCATGTGCCAAAGATTCTGGGAGGCAGGAACTTTTTGTCCGAGCTAAAGGCTCTTCGTTCGGGACCTATGCACGCAGCTACTCCTTTGAGTGAGAGAGCGCCAACACTCAAGCAGAAATCTGGCCCGCGCAAGCGGGATGCGGACGATCAACAATGCGGGCCAGGACTTGGGAGTTGTGCAGCTGGAAAGTGCTGCTCCTTTGAAGGGTTCGACTAACTCTCCTTGCTTCAAGCTGAAGGGTATGAGTACTGACATCCCCCCCTGATAGATGGTGTGGAGTGGGTGAGGACTATTGCACTGCTCCCGATTGCCAAATAAACTATGGCCCAGGATGCGACGGGGTATGAATTGATCCTGCACAATATAAGCACAAAGATTTCACTAACAACCGGCATAGAACCAAAAGCCTTCCGGACCGGACACGTCAGGAGTTGCGAGGCCAAAAGTGGGCAAAGTCCTCTATGGTGGAGGGGGAATCTACGACTGTGTTATCGACGGAGGAATTGCGTTGACATTCGATGATGGACCATACCTCTACACTAACGATCTCCTCGACAAGTTGAAGGTTGGACCCCCTCACTTGATCACGGAGGATAACGGCTGACGTTGGATACAGAGCTATGGAGCCAAGGCCACCTTTTTCATTACGGGTAACAATATCGGTAAAGGAATGATCAATGACCCAACTACTCCCTATCCGGCGATTATCAGGGTAATAACTAATCTTCAAAGACTCTGTGGTCCACTCTTTACTGATTTCCTTCATAGAGAATGCATGCAGAGGGCCACCAGATTGCCAGCCATACTTGGTCCCACGAGAATGCCAGTCAGTTGACTAACACTCAAATGACGAACCAGATGGTGTGGAACGAGATTGCATTTAACTCCATCCTTGGTTTCTTTCCAACGTATATGAGGTACGTTCGAACGTATTCTCGTCTATACTCTCACTTCTGACCCTCGACTAGGCCCCCTTATTCGATCTGTGGGAAGAACTGCCAAAATGTCTTGTCAACACTCGGCTACCATGCCATTTACTTCGATCTTGACACTGAGGGCTATCTGCATGACGACGCGAGACAGATCCAAACGAGCAAGAACATCTGGGATAAGGCAATTAAGAATTCCAATCCGGCTTACGACAGCTTCCTTCAGATCGAACACGACATTCATGTACAGACGGTTTACAACTTGACTGACTACATCTTAACTTCACTTTTTTCCAAGGGATACAAGGCAGTAACAGTAGGAGAGTGTCTGGGCGACCCGGAAGAAAACTGGTACCGTACTGGACCAGCCGTTCCGTCGCTTAGCTCTACCTCGTCGTCGGTAAGAACTACTACATCAACCACCAGCATCAAGTCCTCGAGCACTTCCACCAGCATTCGTATCACAACGAGATCCACAGTCCTTGCAACTAGCACAAGTACAAGCACAAGCATCAGAACACGATCCACTGGCGTCCTTGTTCCACCAACTACGAGCACTTCCACTACTAGCACAAGCATTCGCACGAGATCTACCGTTCTAGTCATTCCAACCACGAGCACAAGCACATCTAGCACTCGTTCCACAATAAGTAAGGCAATTCCCCCTACCTACCGGCCTCTTATAGCCCTTCCCATCATCGATCTCTTGATACCGTGAGCTCTCGCTCGCCAAAACCAATTTTTTTTTTCTTTCCAGGGGGAGGGGCCAGGTTTAGCAACTGTGGTATTATCCTTCCCTTCTTTCCCTTCTACCGTCTGCCTCTCATGAACCATCATATTGATGATTTCCACCCAACAAGTTTAGCAAGAAGGACACACTTATAGCTAGGTGTATGGAAATTGCTGAGCTGACCAACTTGACTTCTTTTTCTGTTACATCAGTAACAAAACCAACAACAACAATAGCAACCACATCTGCGAACCCACCAACGGGCGGCGGCGGCTTAACCATCAGCATCAACGGCGAGTGTGGCCCCGAATTTGGCCAGACGTGCTTAGGAAGCAGGTTTGGGGAGTGCTGCGGGTCGGCAGGGAGATGTGGCTCCGGGTTGTTGTACTGCTGGGCACAAGTTGGGTGCCAGGTTGGATATGGGAATTGTTTGATGGGTTCCGTTGAGGGGACGGGAGAAAAGGCTGAGGAAAGGTAATGGAGTGGTGGATGTAATGAGAATTACGGTGTTGGATGTTGGGTTGTCATTTAGGTGTATTGAGGGTGTAAATCTGGTACCTTCACTTTCTGACAGCTTCAATGCCTTCGGCTATTGTTTGAACAGATAAGTGTCTCGGGTGAATAGCCGTCTTTTCTGACTTTTGGCATCTAGGAAAGAGAGATCTGAAACATCTTTCCTGCGGAAAGACAGAGACGCCATTACCATGGGAGAACTTTTCACCTGGCAAACGGACATGTTTTCACGGTAAGGCAATTCATACGTTTCATACACGTCAGCATTCACAAGTGTCATCACATTTCACGCAAAAAGCAAATCAGGAACGAAGAAGAATTGTGTAGCGGCATTTGACCCATTCGGGTTCTTAGGGACACCATCTTTTGTGGTGTCCCAGCCAAAAAAAATCTTTTGATTTTGTTATTCAAGATGGCGTACGCCAGAGGCGTGACGGAACGAATCGTAAAGGACCAAGGTATTGGTATAGTGGTAGAGAGGACATAAAGGCAAGTTGGTATCGCCTGAATAGATCCCAATAAAAATAAAATAGGACAAATTTGACATCGTTGCTCCACTCCTCCTCCATGCCGCGCGCGCTCGCTCCAAGGAACGTGAGGTGCTTTTCTTTCCTTTTAGGGTAGGAAAAAGAAAAGAAAAGGGCCCGTTGAGCTCCCCTTGTTTGTTTCACCTCGTCACACTGGAGCAACGATGCTTTGCTTATAGCTTCTTTATTATTAACAAGAAAACTTAAGCGGAAGCAGCGGCGGCCTTGGCAGCGTCAGCAACCTCCTCAGCAGCGTTGAGCGCCTCACGCTCCTGCTCGAGCGCAACGCTCTCAAGAAGCTGGTTGATGACACCCTTCTTCTCGTCGGAGGCCTGGGCGCGGAGCTCAGCGACGGCATCGGCGATGCCAAGCTGCTCGTCGGTCCAGAGGGGAGCCACGGGCGCGGCTTCGGCCTCGCCAACGCCGATGAAGCCGCCCTCGGCGGCCCAGTCGCTGGTGCGCTTGATGCCGAGCTCGGTCCAGATGGAGTCGAGAGCGGCGACGAGGTGGTCACGGAACTGCTTGGTGTGGCCCGGGGTAGGGGTGATGCGCAGACGCTCCTGGCCGACGGGGACGGTGGGGTAGTTGATGCTCTGGACGTAGATCTGGTGGTCGTTGAGGAGCTTGTCCGAAGCCTTCTTGGCCAGCTCGGCGTTGCCGACGAGGATGGGGATGATGTGGCTGGGGTTGGGGATGACGGGGATATCACGGTCCGCGAGGGCCTCCTTGACGGCGCGAGTGTGCAGCTGCTGGAGGCGGCGGTCACCGTCGTAGCTCATCTGGTATTCGATGGCGGCGCGGGCACCGGCCATGACGGCGGGCGGGAGGGTGGTGGTGAAGATGAAGCCGGGGGCGAGCGAGCGGATGGTGTCAACCAGCTTGGCGCTGCCGGCAATGTAGCCACCGACGCAGCCATAGGCCTTGCCGAGGGTACCCGAGTAGATGTCGATGCGGTCGGCGATGGTTCCCTTGGTCTCGCCGCGCTGGTGGGCCTCCCAGTCGAGGTGCTCAGCGACACCAGCACCGTGTGGGCCGTACATGCCGACGGCGTGGACTTCATCGTTAAAGGTGATAGCACCGTACTTCTCCGCCAGGTCGCAGAACTTCTCAATGGGACCGATGGATCCGCACATGCTGTACACTGACTCAAAGGCAATGATCTTGGGAATATGTAGCGGCAGGGCAGCCAGCTTCTTCTCTAGATCCTCGACATCGTTGTGCTTGAAGATAATCTTCTTCGCGCCAGAGTGACGGATACCCTGGATCATGGAGGCGTGGTTAAGACTGTCGGAAAGAATCACACAGTCAGGGAGTTTACTACCAAGGGTAGCCAGCGTCGCGTCGTTGGCGACGTAGCACGAGCTGAAAACGAGCGCAGCATCCGTAGCATGGAGCTTAGCCAGACTATTTTCGAGTTCGACAGCATGTTTGTTGTGACCCGAGATGTTTCTTGTACCACCAGCACCGGCGCCGTACTCATCGAGGGTGGTGTGCATGGCCTCAAGGACGTGCTTGTTGCGGCCCATGCCGAGGTAGTCGTTGGCGCACCAAACTGCGACCTTCTCCTCCTTGGTGGCCATGTGGGCACGGGGGAAGTCCTTGGCCAGGCGGTTGATGTTGTTGAAGTAGCGGTACGACTTGTCCTTGTGCTTCTTCTCCAGCTCGTTCTCGTAGAACTTCTCATAGTTAAACTTGGTGCCAAAGTTGCCCGAAACAGTGCAGGCAGCCGGCGACGGGTTTGCGGCAGTGGCGGTCGTAGGCTTCACGGGAGGATGGGGAGGAAGACCGGCTGCGAAGAAAAGAGCAAAGTCAACATACTGTAGCACGGCGAAACACAGGAACTGCGCGACTCACCCTTCTGGCCAGTGAAGACACCCTCGACAGCCTGCGCCTCACGGGGATGGCCAGTGTGCAACTTGGCCTTGTGAACGAAGGAAGCAGAAGCAGCGCTGGCGCGGCCTCCAGTGCGAGCAGACTGAACAGCCATGGCCTTGCCCATGACGGGGCAGCGGTGGGCGAGGACCTGCAGCTTGGAAATGGCGCCGCCGCAAGGAGAAGCGGCAGGGCGCGCGGCGGTAGTCATGGCGCGGAGGCTGGAAGCCGTGGCCTTCTTCATGAAGGGGCACACAGCCTTGGACTGGCGAAGAACGGAGTCCATGATGGGCGTGGTGTTTGGCGATGGCAACTGGTGTCGTCGTCTAGGAGGATCCGCAAAGCCGTTTGAGAATCAACTTTCGGGGATGTACGGGCGTGGAGTGGAAAGGTTGGGGAGAAAAAAAAGGAAGAGAAGGAGGAAGGAGATGTTCTTCGGGAAAAAAGCTGAGGCAAAAAGATAGGTGGGCACAGCAGTCGACAACTTTCCATGGCTCGGCGAGCCTTCGTCGTGGACCAGTACACTACTGGAATTGACCAACCAGTCAGCTCCCAGGGGGCACTGTAAGCGGGGGTCTTGTTCGACGGTCCCTGCGGACGCATGTGGATCTGTCCGGCTCTTCTGGATGGATGGCTATCTGGCCGGACCGGATCAGCGAGTCCCGGATCGTTCGAGGTTTGTGCACTATGTACACTACATATTTTCATCTTGCTCTTTTTCGATCTTCATGACCCCAACCCAGAACTTGTCCTTTTTGGGTTCTGTTCTTCTTCTTCTTCTTCTTCTTCTTCTTCTGTGACTTTCAATATAATTACATACACATACCACCGCCTATTTTATGACCCCAACCCAGTGGCATACTTGTTCTTCTCGAGTCCTCTTATTCTTTGGTAACATGCCATCCAACGTATGATTACATACATAAGTAGGCACCGGCGCCTAAAAGTAGAACGACGTATGTACCGTTGCGGCTTTCCCTCTGCCTCCGGGAGTCGGGACTCGGAATCGTCTCGGCAATCGGATGCCACGGACTACTTTTTGGGTTTCAAATGCGATTCTTCACTAATAGCCTCATTCTGATTGGCTGGAACGTTTCTGCAGCGATGACCGGCCCCAGCTAGCCCAAAGGTGCTCCACGCGGAAGCGGGGTCCAGAATGACTCCGTAGTATACAGTGCCGTACAGTAATGTACTTCGTACCTCTCTATACGTACCTTTGGCACCTCAACCGCCGTCCTGTGCGTCTCATTCAGTCGGTCAGTCATTGCCAACCACCTGTCTTCTTTTATGTGCATCTAAGCTGCCATCGCGATACGGTCTGCACGTAATCGACTTGATATACGATTCATCATCCATCTCGTTTCGGATAGGCATGTACTCTGTATGGGGTCATTGCCTTCCAGAGTCACTTTGTTCAACATCATTATGCGGGGACTTGCTTTGTGAACCATGTCTGGTTTTGTGATCGGCATACCATCTGTACGCAGTATATACTAAAAGTAAGCCATGCATCTTCGTCTAGGTGTAGTCACTGGGGGTATCTCCTTCCTATAAGCGCCATGTTGCCCTGTCCCCATGCCAACTGAATCATCGCCAAGTGAAATCAAAATCTACAAAATGCTCGCTCGTTTAGATGCCCCACGCACTTTATATAGAATACTGCTGGTAATCATAACCATACCATCCTCCTCATAACGCAATGCCTGTCCAAGCCTGAACCGTACCGACAGAGTCCTCAATCTGCTGATGTTTGCCTCCATCGTCCTTCTTCCCACTGCTGATAATATCCTTGCTGGTTGTTACCGGAACGCCAAAGCAATGACTGGAGGGTAATGGTAAAAAAAAAAAAAAAAGACAGGGTATCTCAAGAGGGCGACAGAGAGCAGAACGGAAAATAGAGGGGTTATCGACTCTAGGAAAATGGGTAAACGATACTTTCAGTCGTCATCAATCACTAGGGGCATGTCGGCCGTGCCACCCGGTTGAAGCCTCCTCTTGTGCTTTTTCTTTTCCTCCTTTTTCTTCTTCTTCTTCTTCTTCCGTTCAATGTCTTCCGTCAACGTTCGGCTAGGAGTGGCCTTGGTGGTCGTGCTGGTGCTGCTGCTTCTTGCTATACCGTCTATAGCATCAGATTCCGCAAGAGGTGGTCGCATTCTTGTTTTCTCGGTTTTGACTGTCACGTCGGCCGTCGATTTCGGGGCGTGCTGTTAGGTTGTTTCATTTGTCAGTCATGCTGCTGGCTTCTTCTTCGGCTTCCACTTGATGCGGGGCGGAGTGTTGGTAGTGGTGGTGTGCCTACGCTGGCTTTGTGACGCGCCCACAACTCTTGCTTGAAGCAGTCGTCTGTCATGGTTTGAAATTCGGCGATCTTGGTCTTCATCTGAGCCATGCCCATAGCTACTACCTCATTAGGCGTGAGGTATCCTGCGAGCAAAGCCTCTCCAAACCTGGTACTTTCTGTGACCGCTTTGCACAAGCTTCGCAGTTTATCCATTCTAGGGAGCGTTCCTGCGGCCATATCCTGGCGATCACATTCCGAATTGATCTGCATAACCAGATCTTGCGGATGGATGGACATGTCATAACCCTCATCCCGAAGCTTTCTATGTACTTCGCCGAGAGCCTCGAGAAGCTTTGGGGTAGTATCCTCCGGTTTCCTTGGTTTGGGGATAATTTCAGGCGCTTTGAGCGTATTGGGCCTTCTTGGAGCCTCGGCCACCTTGTAGTGCGTATTGGTTCCGAGAATGGGATTCAACGCGGCCACTTGACCGTTAGCCGGGCTTGGTGATGACGCAACTGTTTGGCTCGCTATGGCGGTTGAGGCTACTCGTGGAATTGGTGCACCCGCTTGGGTGCTTGCAGAAATGTTGTTCGCAGCAGAGGGGGGGATACTATGAGCTGAGCCAGGTGTTGCTGGGTTATGTTTGTCTCTGAGGTGGAGTGGGACTAAAATTCGGATTAGCTGACGTTGGTGATTTGTGTTTTGTTGTGCGTGTTTGAGCAGCGCGGACGGGGACTCACCGCCCGTAGATATTGGCGTACCAAGATTTGGTGGAAGAGATGGCAGCGCATATCCCGAGCCTGTTGACATCTGCCGCTTGTACTCCTCAGGGTTGTTGATTCGAAGCTCTTCCAGCTCAATCTGCTTGTTCAACTCGCGGTGTTGCTCTGCAGTGAACTCATACACTTCCTCCCTTTCGAAAGTCTCGGTTGAATCGATTTCGCGGATGATACTGCTGCCCTCGGCGGATGCAAGGACCTTATCCAAGACTTCTGGATCAAGGCCCTTCACAGCTGACAGATCCTTTTGCTCCAGGTTCTCAGGGGGTGTAATGAAGTACTCTCTCATCCTGGTTGAAGAGGGGATTGGCTTCTTCTTATCCACAACCCGCTCCGATAACTGCCTCTTGAAGATTGCCAGATTGTGAATGGCGGTCTCGTAGGTACCGCCGACCTTAAGATGATAAACAAATACCTTCTTCTCTTGGCCAATCCGATATGCTCTACCGACAGCCTGCTGCTCTTCCGCGGGAGTGAAGCCAAAGTCAAAGAGGACTACGCGATTGGCCCCAGGAATGTTGAGACCGACACCACCAGCCCTGGTAGAAATCAGATAGACATCGAGTGAGTCAACCGCATTGAACTCCTTGACAGCAGCCTGGCGTTGACTGACCGGTGTCTTTCCATCTAATTTTTTGTAATTGATCTTCTTCTGCTTGAACAGATCCTGCAGAAAGTTCAAGGTTGGGATGCTTTGAGAAAAGACGAGTACCTTGTCGCCGATCTGTTTGCACTCCTTAAGGATTTGCAAGAGCACAGTGACTTTGGTAGAATGCACAATGTCGTCGATGCCCCTGATCGACACCTTGGCGAGAACATTCCTTAGCGTGTCCCGCGACAAATCCAGTGGTTCATCATTCTCATCACTATCTGGGTCTTCATCGTTTGTTATGCGATGTTTGCCCTTGACCAGTGCTGGATTAGCACTTAAGCGTTCCTCCATCTTGCTTTTGAAGATTTTTGGATGCGCCAAAAGCAGCTTTAGAGAGGCGATGAGACCCCAAACGCAGGCGGTGCGATAAAGGTCATTTCCCTTGTTCCGCTGTGCAGTCTCCAGATATTCTTGGTAAGCATCTCGCTGGACCTTGGTCATTTGGATGGTGAGGATGAACTCCCTTTTCTGTGGAAGCTCGTCGACCAGGACTTGGATGTCCTTCCTGTTCACCTTCGGCGCGACAATGGCCTTGAGAATTTGCAGGCGTTCTCTGGCGAGCTTCTTTTGCGCGTCAGTGCTGTCGGCATGTAGACCCGCGCTAATGGGTTCGGCGTATTTTTGGTTAAACTCTCCCACATCACTCAGGTAGTTGGGAGCTACCCAGTTGATCATGGAATAGTAATCCATTACGTTCCTGGTCAGAGGTGATCCCGTCGTGGCAATACGGCTCATGGTGTGGAAGTCTTGGACTACAGCGTACAACTTGGAAGTCTTATTCTTGAACCGATGAGCCTCGTCGCAGATCACAATCGATGGAGAACTGTGTAGCAGTTCAGCCACGTTGTCTTCCTTTCCTGAGACTAGAGACCTGAACAATTCGTAGCCCATGACTAGTACGCCTCGAGACCGCGCCCATTCTTTGATGAGCAGAACCCGCTCGCTGGGTGGCACCGTCGCTGCATCAATCTTGGTGATAGTCCCCAAGATGTCTTTTGGCGCCCATTTACAGATTTCGTCGATCCAATTTTCAACCAAACCAGAAGGACAGAGAATCAAGGGTCTACCAACCCGAAGGTCCTTGGGGATCTGGGCAACTACCCGGGGGTCGTCGGATTGGGATGCCTCAGCAATGGCAACCAGCAAGGTGATAACTTGCATTGTCTTGCCTAAGCCCATGGTGTGGGCAAGTAAGCACCCCTGGCGTGAGTTTGACTCAACCACGATCTGGTCCCACATGAAGCGGACACCGTCTATTTGATGGTCCTTAATCCTCCCTCCAATCTCCTCATGAACGTAGATCAAAGGAAGGTCGTCGGATTCTTTGGTTTCATTGATGATGAGACGTGACTTGTCACTCGGTACTGATCCAGTTTCGGCAAGTTTGGCCCGCAATAGTTTACGGCGTTCGTCCATTTGTTTCAATAATGCCTTGGAATCGACACGGAGCTTTTTGGCCTTTTCGTCATGTTTGGGTCGTCGGCCTTTCTTCGCAGATGACAGAGGGAACTGGGAGGACAGCTCCTCCAAGTCTGTATCCATATGCTCAGACTCGCTTGTGATATCCATAGGTATATCTTGAGTTGCCTCCGGGGATTTAGCGGAGGTCATCTCCATTGGAGTGGGTGACTTGGGCTCGGGTCGAAAATAGCGAATGCAATCCTGCAAAAAGTTGAAAAACTCTCCAAACCGCAGATATTCCCGGTTAAGCTTTTGGCAGGTAACGCAACGAAGGGTAGTCGATCTAATCTTGAGTCGTCCTTCGCTAAAGTCAGAATATGTGAGAAACAAAAGGGCCAGAATGAGGCTGGTCGAGTCCGGGTCGACATCGATCCTAGAGATCCCGGTAGCGGCTCGGTCAATGAGTGGTTGAATATGCTCCTTCCATGTCTCTTTGTCTCCGCGATCTTGAATGGTATCAAAAATTTCCGACTGCCGCAAAGGTGACCAGCTCCAGAGAGCGGCAATCACAAGACGTTCGCCGTCCCTGTGCTTTGCCCAGAACTGCGTTCCAAGTTTGCCGATGGTATCAACATCAGTGAGAGGAGGGACATTGGCAAGCTGGTCCATGTCGGATGGTGAGGACAAGATTTCGATAGGTTCTGCTGGGATTGTATGAATTATGCGTTGAGGTGTTGTTGGTTCAACCTTATTCACTGCCCTTGTCTCGTCATCAACCGCAGAGGGTTGAGCAATGGTATTTTCTTCCTCTTCCGGTATTTGGTTTGTTTCTGTCGATGGGTTCAAGGGGCGGACAGGCGTGCTAGGTCGGGTAGATGGGATAGTTTCCTTTGGGTCAATGACCATGTGATCTACTGGCGAAAGATCATCCTCGATAAACTGGTCCTCTTCTTCAGAATCGCTCGTCAAGAGTTCTTCATCGCTTGCGAGTGTCTCTCTCTCTCTTTTGGGTTCCGGCTTTAGCCTGGGAAGCGTCGAAGGCTTGGGCGGCTCATGAGGGTTCTCGAGCAAGTTAAGGAGCCAAGTTTGGTATTTTCTGTCATAGACACTCTCTTCCAAAAACCCTTCAGCTTTGGCCTCGATCTTGTCCTCTTTGAACCATTTCTGATTCAAAAGCTCGTTTTTCATATTTCCAAGTCGGACTTCGAGGCTTCTGAGCTGGTTTTTCGCGAAGGTGATGAGGCTTAAACGGGTACGGTGTCGCCGGGCGTCTTGCCATATCTTCCAGGCCCGTCTTTCGCATTTGGGCTTCTTGATCGTTTCCCAACTGACTTGCAGTCTCTGGATAGCATTCTCTATGGCCTCCTCAGCCTGCACTTTACTGAGCTGTAGAGACCCGTGCATGCTTTGGTGAGCTTTCCGTTCTTGCTCCTCCTGTTCATACTCTCGGTATGTTTCTGAATCCACCGACATGCCGTCATCGTCCTCTCCAAAGTCCAAGACGACCTCCTCGTCCTCATTCACAAAAGGGCTGCGTTTACGGAAGAATTTTCTCATTACCCGAGCCACCTGTAGGGCGCGCGCTGGTGGTACCGCACCAGACCTGACCCAAGTGAACTCCTCACTAGCCTCCTTGTCGTCGCCGTCGTCATCAGACTCAAAGTTGTACGGGAGGCTTGCAATGTCCTCGGAGCGCAAGGCGGAAGACCCAAGATAACTGAATTTTGAATCCTCGACGTCCAAAAACCGATCAAAGTTGGCATCGGAAAGAAAGGTGCTCGTTGGAAGGGTAGCTGAACGGAAAGAAGCTCCAGTCTGAGAGGCTCCAGTCTGAGAGGATGGAATATCGAGCAAAGGGTGGTAGAACATGTCACCTTCTGTGGGGATAAATGACCTCGCTTGAGCTGGGGCAACTGTCGATACAATGGTGGGAGCGATCCTCCTCTTTTTAAGAGGGCGCTCCGGGTCCCTCGAGGCCTCCTCGGTATCTTGCCGAAGACCGTTGCCTAAAGCGCGCTTCTCTGGTGATTCTGGTGACCGGTCAGGGATACCGGACATTTGAACATCCTGCGCTTGCTCTGCAGGGGCGGCGTGCTGACTTATGACACCCTCCATCGGCGTCGGCGCGACGGCAGCAGAACCTGTCATGACATGAGCGGTCTCAGAAGCGGGAGCGCTGACCACACCAGGAGTTGGCTCGGAAGCAGCATCATTGAGCATAACAGAGTTCGCTTCCACAGCTGTGTTGTTGACTATAGCAGGCCTTGCATCCGTAGCTGCATTGCCGACTCCAGCAGAACTTGGCTCGGAGACGGGGCCATCAATCGCCGCGGCAGTTGGCTCTGGGATGGAATTATCGACTAGAGGAGGCGTCGGCTCAGAGGGATTCAGAGGATCCGGCTTGATGGCCGGAATCGTACTCAGCAGACCTTTCGGAAGGTCAATATCCCTCCTTTGTCGATAGTAAAGAGTACTGGTCTCCCTAAACTGTTTGATGGCTTTTCCGATGGATAAATGGTGGGCGAGCTTTTTTATGCCTAGCATTTCCCAAAACGTGGGCCAACCGTATTCGTCTGGGTACATCAAGAGTGTCTCTCCATCGATGTCGAGTTCGCGCAGCTTAAATGCAAGGCGTTCAGGGTCGGGCAGCTTATGCGGAGCAGGCGCATCCCATGTACGCTCCGGGGTGCATAACTCTTTGACCACCCGCTCGACATCCCAGTGGAACGGCTCATTTTCGTTGAGTTCGGCCATTGCGTAGGTGCTAGACGGGTTTCCGATGCTGATAGAGGCGGTCATTAGTATCACACCAAGGATACCTATACGAGTAGAAAGGAGAGCATTACAAGTATGAAAGCAATCTGTGTTGGATCAAGGACTCGGATATTCACTCCTTTCCTTTGGGGGTTGATAATTATGCTGCCGCTTGATGAAAAGCTGAGAAATTTGCAATTTAGTATCGTTAACTGAGTCGGCTCATGGCAATTTTGACGGTGGTCCTAATGTTGGCGTTTAGTAACCGATTTCGTCCTTCGAAAGCGCGTATGGAGAGATATTCCTGGATGCCTGCTCAAGGCGCTAAGATCCTGATCACTTCCGCGGGGGGGCAAGATGATGATTGGAATGATGATGATGAAGAAAAACAAAGGAAGGGGTATATACATATATATTGCGGGGAAATGCAGAAAGCTGTGACAAAATGAGCCGTGAAGGGTTCCTGACTGGAGGTGCCCTGAGCAAACTGAGGGGTCGAGCGCTAAATCGAACTTTGAGACCGAGTTTGCAGTTTATTACATTGTAATAAGTGAGATGTTTTTGGTTGTGGTGGGAGAAGGGAGGGGGGGGGGAATAGATTCTGGATGAAACAGAAACTCAAACGGACGTCATTTGGCCCAGGAGGAAGACCTGCCGTTGGCTATGGCAATGGGGGCCGTGAATCAAGGCGATGTTTGATACGATGTTCGATTGGGATAAAATGTAAAATTGCGACACGCAATAGCCGTTGCTGTTGACTGCCTGCTCGGTGTCGCGATCATTGAAAATAAGGTGAAGGTGGATCGGGGAAATGGACGGGGGTTAGGTTTCCTTGACCTAAACAATCAGAGGCGGATTGATGTGACCGCGGTGAACATGTTCAAAATCAAACTTACCCGCCGGGGTTGAGAGCATCTGCTGATAATCCTCGTCTTACACAGTCAGATGCCTCGCCTTGAAGCAGCTTGCGCGCGGCTGATGGCATCGATGGCCGGATGATGCGTTATACAAAGTTGAAGTTGCGGTGATGTCTGGATAAAGTCTGGCCGACGGGTCTTGCCAGACGGGACGGGACGGCGGGGAACCTTGGAGTCTCCTCGCTCGGGCGGTCATCGTTGCTGAGGTTTCAGACACGCGGAACGCGAAGTCACGTTATCTGTTGGGCAATACTACACTACTAGTACATAAGTAGGTGGCTTGCACAATTTCAATAGTTTGTGTAACGATTGTGTACTACATACCGCAAAGTGTTAATTACACACAGCACAATGTGAGCGATTCGGACGTACTCATATGTAAGGCGAACTCACTCTTCGTCTTGTCCTCGCTCTTTCAAGGGGACAGTTGCCCCTATCCACTTTGAAATATTTTGAGCAATAGTCAGCTCCCTGTTTCTGATGCTCAGGCCTAGAGGTAATATGGCGTAGATAAAGAAGTCTGTATGGTGCCTGGTAAAATACCAGTAAGATGTACATCTCATGCTGTAAATTCCCAGCGGTACCTGCCAAATCGGCATCTCCTGCACTAAAAGAGGGGTACCAGAGGTCCAGGCTGCAGCGGTGGAGAAGAGTGCAACTGCCCGGATTCTACCTATGGTAGGTAGGTAATGGAGTATTTGTGGCAGGTACGTTTGTAACAACCATCCCATGTCAAGAAAAGATACCTCTAGAAGCTTACAAATTCATCTTGACGGACAGAACTGAATTGAAGACATGATCAATACGTTCCATCTCAAAGGATCACATTTATTTAGCCAGTCGGCCAAAGTGTTAAGAGAACAAACAACTTCACGCCGCATGTTGCTGCGTCTCTCTCGACACTGAACCCGCAGTTCCGTGACATTTGACAGTGACAGCGCCCCACCATTCTATAGTATACTTCCACTTGAGACTTGCTTTAGCACCGGTCCTCACCTCTGCAGACGGCTTCATCCATCATCCCATCTTCACTGCAGCATCCTTTGCATTTCAGCTGGTGTAAACTCGCAGAAAAAGTAAGTCTTGACATGCTCAACTTCGTGGACGCACTGAAGCTGTCGAGCTTCATGAGCAACCCTTGGCTCAACACACAAAGGGTCGAGGAAGTTGTTTTTCACAACCTCCCTCGAAAATGATGCCATTCACTCTAGTTGCTTCACTCATTAGTGACCCCTCAATTTATCTACACCAAGCATTTCAACTAACAACATCCCAGAATATTCAAAGCAAGAGCCACAATGTCTTCCATTACTCAGGGTTCATACCCTCCCGTTCTCCAAGATGCCGAAAAGGAACGACTCGTGCAAGTCGTCAAGGACTGGACTGTAGCTCACGGCCTCACTGTTCGCCCACCACCTGCCATCGCCGGTAACGACACCGAAGGCATCCTCGCCACAAGTGCGCCCGTTACCCTCTTTCCCAGCCCCTTCCCCAAGAGCTGCTTTGAGGAGGCAAAGGCTATTCAGACTACATACAACGAGCTTTATGCTCTTATTAGCCAGGACGAGGATTTCCTCACAGAGATGGTCAAGGAGTACGTTTCATCAACAGTGGAGGATTTTCATTTTCACTGACAAGCCTCAAGGGTTGCTGGCGGCGACGAGTTCATTGCCAACTTATGGAACGTCCACCTCCGTGTGAAGAAGGAAGGCTATGTTCAAGTAAGCAGCTACAACATCATAGGACCCTCAGCTTGTGAATCAATATCACGCTAATCACCCAGCACCGACAGAACCTCGCTTTAGGCCTCTTCCGCTCCGACTACATGGTGCACCAAGACGACGCCTCCCTGCAAATCAAGCAAGTCGAATTCAACACCATCGCCTCCTCCTTCGGCGGCCTGTCCACTCAGACCTCCCTCCTGCACAAACACCTCGCCCAGCATGAGTATCCTCTCCTCTCTTCTTCCTCCTCCGCCTCGAACCTCGACCTTCCATCCAACGACTCCGCCGCCGGTCTCGCTGCCGGTCTCCGCGCCGCCTTCGACGCTTACGGCTCTTCCACTCTCGGCCATCCCACGTGCGTCCTCTTCCTCACCCAGTCCGGTGAGCGCAACGTCTTTGACCAGCGACACCTCGAATACGCCCTCTCCTCATCCGGCCCTAACAAAGTCCCCGTTTTCCGCCTCCCTTTCTCCGACATCCTCACCCACACCACCCTCGCCTCTACCCCCACCCGCCAGCTCCTCTACACTCTTCCCAGTAACCCTTCCCTGGTCTTCGAAGTAGCCGTCGTCTACCTCCGTGCCGGTTACGGCCCCGGTGACTACCCTTCGCAAGAAGCATGGGAGGCGCGCTACCAGATCGAGCGGTCCAACGCCGTTTGCTGTCCTACCGTTCTCACGCAGCTGGCGGGCATGAAGAAAGTGCAGCAAGTCCTGGCCACCCCGGAGGAAAGCAACACCAACTCGGTTCCCTCCGCGCTGGCCAAATTCATGCCTCCCACCTCGGAAAAGACCCAGCGCCTCCTCAAGACCTTTACGAATATCTACCCCCTCGATACTTCTTCTTCCGGCCTGCATGCCCGCTCCCTCGCCACTTCCCCCACTCAATGCCAGAAATACGTGATGAAGCCGCAGCGCGAGGGCGGAGGCAACAACTTCTATCGGTCGGCGATCCCGGAGCAACTGGCCAAAATCCCCGAGGAACACTGGAACTCGTTTATCCTCATGGAGATCATCGAGCCGCCTGCGCTGGCGAACAGTATTCTCAGGAACGGCAAGGTAGAAGTGGGGGGCGTTATTTGCGAATTGGGCGTTTATGGTACTTGTCTGTGGGATCAAAGCAGTGGGGAAATCAAGTTCAATGAGGAGGCCGGATATTTGTTGAGGACGAAGGGGGACAAGAGTGAGGAGGGAGGCGTGGCGGCGGGTTATGGGTGTATGGATAGTGTTACTCTTGTCTAAGCTGAGGGTTGGGGAAGAAAAGGGCTGTCTGCTTGGATATAAAGTGGCGATGGGTGATGATGACGTACAAATAGATGGATGGCTAGACAAATAGAGGCAAGTCATCGAAGCACGTATATAGGTGCCTGTATCTAGAGTTCTTTACCAGCACCAAGTATCCCACCAAGGTCGTAATACGATCTTGCCTCGCTCCTCTTCCGCAAATCACCGCTTCTCCTTTTGTTTTTTTTTTCTCCTCACCCTGTGTCCTACCTTCTCCCCTGTGCCACCTGCTCCGGCCACCCCCCAACAGCATCCTCCACCTCCTCCAGGAAACTCTGCGCATTATGCACCGCCGTGCCGCCCAACACCACCCTAACCCCCGGCACACTCGCATTGATCTCCGCCACCATCTTTGCCTCCTCGTAGGTCGCTCCCCCAATGATAAACACGATGATATCCTGTGGCTTATCCCTCGTCGAACCCCCGCCGTCCACAAACGGATACTGCTGCTCCCTCAGCTTGCCCTTGACCAGGTTCTGCAGCGTTGTCTCTAGTAGGGGCGAGTGCTGCGTGTACACGTTCTCAACGCCCTTGAGTACCTTGAACCGGTTGCCGGCGCCGCCAAAGATACCTGTAGACTCGAAAATGTCCGCGATGCCGCCTACGCCACCACCGGAGCCACCGGTGGTGGCGTGCAGAGAGGAGTGGTAGGCCAGAAGCTTGGCGACGCGGTCGGTGCGACGGGTGGGAACGCCGCCGGCGGCGGAGAGGAGGTCAACGAGCATGGGTAGTTGGCTCGAGGGTGATTTGGAGTAGCGGAGGGCGTAGAGGGCGACGAGAATTACTTTGTTGTCGGGGGTTACGGTGGGGGATTGGATCAGTCTTTGGATGTTCTGTGAGGTTGGATGGGGATCAGTATACGGCCATGAGAGCATAGCAGGTTGGTTTCAGCTTTACCTTGAGATCGGCAGCATGGTTATCGTTGCAAGCTAAGCTCTGCTCAACCTCGCTAACTTCGAGTAGGCTCTGGGCGCCGACTCTTCTGCTTAGCTCGGAGACCAAGGTTACGTGTTTGCTGACGTTTCCGGAGAGCTTCCTGAACTCGGGATACTCTTCGATGAACCGCTTCATGTCGGAGATGGACTCGATGTTGGCGTTGTTCTGGGTCTTGGACTGGTACTGCGACACGTATTCCTTGATATTGCCGCCTAGGTCACCGAAGTTGAGGTACATGTTCTTTTGGAAGAAAGGATCTTGATCTTGTGAAAGGACAATCTCCTTCAGCTCGGCACGGATTTCGGGGACATCACTGAGATCGACTCGCCCATTGTGAATGCCAAGCAGGTGATGTACCATAGCCTGGTATGTCCATTGTGTGAGAAGCGGTGTGATGGGGTCCTCTCGCCTGTCCAGTATCAAGAGAATGGGTGGTGTGTCGACCTTGCGAAAGTCGAATAGCTGGTCCTCCTGGGTCATGCAGTATCGAACTTCGGATGCGAGCTTCTTAGCCAGAGGGCTGCTCTTCTGGTATCTGATCAAAGGTTTCTTCTTGAGAGATAACAAAACCGAAATAACCCCTTCGGTACACCGTTGCAAGGAATCGGTATTCCAGGTATCGGGATTGCCGCTCCATATCCGATTCATGGGTAGGGACATGTTGAGTGAGAACAGGTCGGTGTTGATAACAATATAATCCATGAAGTATTCCTGCACTACCTTGACAACCTCGTGATCGTCGGCTTCTGCTAGCCGTTCAAGCGCCGACTTTTTGACAATGTTGCTGAAGTAAAGATGGTATTCTCCGTATTTGGGGTCTCGTAGCTCGTCGATCAAGAGGCCGATGGTGTCGGGATGTGGCCTGACGAAGCAGAGACAGCGCATGTGTCTCATCTTCTCCCGTTTAGCATTGTCCAACCGATCGGTAAGGTAGACTTCATGGTTGAGAAGGGTTGATACGGTGACGGCAGCTGAGATACAGGGAACGGTGTCCTTGTCCAGCAAGAGCATCTTCATCTTGGCCGATGGCGCAGCGGCAGTCCCGGCGTTTTCACCGACCGTCACCATCTTGGTCACATAACCGGATGCTGCCTGTATCAGATCCATCTTGGGCGAGTAAATGCTGTGATTTTAGGTTCCAATTTTGAGTTATTAGGCGTCACGTCCTGCGCTTTCACAAGTCCTCTCCTGGTCCCGAACTCCTGAGCCCGCCAATGACTTATGGGGCTCTAGCGGATTGGCACCTTATGTTGTATTGATCCAAGCCCGAAGTGTCTTCGAACTTAGGGCCGAGCACGTGAAGAGAATCAGTGAGGAATTATTAAAAGTTAAAGATAAGATGGTGCACAATGGAAGCTTTGTTATTTTGATGACAGGAAGGTTGAGCTGTTGTCAAGCTCAGGGTTGATGGAGGGGGAAACCGGGGGAGGTGAGGCACGGGACTGAGGGTTACATGTGCAAGTCGCGATGCCTGGGGGCTGCGGCTGCAGTGCATCTTCCACAGGTACCTTGATGTACCTACCTAGGTACCTCTAACCCTGGCCTGTGCGATGGACGTCACCAAAGGTGTCGATAAGATAAGGATCACTAGTAATGATTGGAACCTTGCTGGTTCCATTCCATCTTTTTGGAGCGGGATGCAGACGCAGCCAAAGCAGCTCTCCGAACACCTATCGAACGGACAGATGTTTTCTTCCCCTCGATAACCCCAAGAAGATGGCCGACGTTTGCCCATCAAGGTCGGAGCCTACGTAAGCCCAACTCGTCCAAAACAACAACTATCTCGCTCGCGCCCGACTCTCACAACCAACTGACTGACGAACAACCGTGTCTAACAGCCTGTCGTTCACGCAGGGTCTCATCCTCGGCCAGCTCTCGGTGGTGCTCTTGCTCGCCGCCTTCATCAAGTTCTTCATCTTTGGTGATCCTCCCTCGCCCGAAGTCGTCGCCTCCATCCGCGCTACCGACCGAAGATCGCGAACCTTAGCACACAAGAAATCAATCCTCAGCCTTCGAGAAACCAACGCGCTCCAGCTGGTGCAGAACCCAGCTCTAAATAAGAAGCATGTTCTGCGCCCTGGTCCTCCTACCTTGACCATCGGGTCTATTCTTAGCAAAACATATTACAAGGTCGACAGCCATCAACCAGAAAGTCTCGACTGGTTCAACGTGCTGATCGCCCAAACCATCGCCCAATTTCGCAGTGATGCCCAACACGACGATGCGATTCTCTCCTCTCTGAGCAAGGCGCTCAACGGCACCGCCCGACCCGACTTCCTCGACGAGATCAAGGTTACAGAACTTAGCCTGGGCGAAGACTTCCCCATCTTCAGCAACTGCCGCATCATCCCGGTGGACGAAGATGGCCTTAGCTTTGGAACCGGCAAGGCCTTCGACGCCAACATGGCCACGAGAGAAGGCGCGCGTCTCCAAGCCAGAATGGACGTTGATCTTAGTGATATGATCACCCTGGCGGTAGAGACAAAGTTGTTGCTCAACTATCCCAAGAGACTCAGCGCCGTTCTCCCTGTGGCCCTGGCTGTTTCAGTTGTTAGGTTCAGCGGTACACTGTCCATTTCGTTCATTCCCAGCAACCCGTCCAACAATGAACCCGCGAAGATGATCTTTACCTTTCTCGATGACTATCGTCTGGACTTTTCTATCCGCAGTCTTTTAGGGAGTCGTTCAAGATTGCAGGATGTCCCCAAGATTGCACAACTCGTCGAATCACGTCTCCATCGGTGGTTTGATGAGCGCTGTGTGGAGCCCAGGTTCCAGGAGATTGCTCTGCCTAACATGTGGCCTCGCAAGAAAAATACTCGTGGCGGCGATGAGACCATCTCAGATGTGGACAGGTCTATGAGCAAGGCCAAGGGAGTCGATATCGCTAAGGACGTAAGAGAGGAGGCCCGGAAAGAGATTGAGGCTGAAGCGCATGGGGGAGCCGATAGAGTGCCAGACTCGCTAAGATACAGGCATCGCCCGAGGGCAGACGAGGAGTTTCCCGGAGCCGGGTCAATGCCTGGTTCTATGCCCGGTTCTATGCCCTGAATGAGCATACCGTTTCCGAACGGGCTAAGGAACACGAGATTGAACAGTGGTTCTCACTTGACTGCCCTTGGTCTGTTTTGTGATCTTACAGTCCTCGAACGCTATGGCAACAACCCCGAGGACACTCCGAGAGAGAAATCCTTCGCCGTAGATGGTGTCATATATACCCCGAATACGGCCACAAGCTGGATTTCAATAATTTCCAGAAGATGTGAAAGCGAAACCTCGAAAACGCTGTCACTGACGAAATCCCGATGGCAGAGGAGTTGCTGCCGCTAAATCGCAACTGCTTAGGCGGTCACCATTGCAGATTGCAGATGCTATCCCACGTACATATGTAGTACTATTGTATCAGTGCCACATCGTTCTAGATGATGTAGAGATCAAAAGAGAAGAGCGTCGAAGGGGTGTCACCAGTGTCTACATGGGCCACGGCACCATGAGTACCTCTACGGCCTACCATGTGAATATAACGAAACAACCCTAACCCTGCCCATGGAAATGATCTGAACCAGGGAGTCTGGGTTCAGTTGCACTCATCACAACAGCAACGTAGCTGTGTGAGGCAGTTGATATGGACAGAAGGCCTTCTGTTCCATCTCATTGAACGATGGGTATATTCCCATGGTAGACCACTATCATCAAGACCATGAGACCACCCAGACTGGGAGCCAAACATATCTAGCGTAAAGCTTTATACTGTCCAGGTGACGGATCTGGGATCATGCCCAACCGATTTCACATGGCGGCAGGCTTCAGTTGTTACAAAGAGGTGGGGCTCGTGCACGAACTTTTGCACTCAACATCCGGTGATGTCACAACAAATTGGTGAGCAATCCCAAAGCGAGGGGAGCCACCAAGTACCGGCAGTTCGACTCGCTCTGAAGCAATCTTCAGACGAAAACGAAACTACGAAATAGACTGTGTAACTATGTATACAATTGCTTCTGGCCCTTTTCAGCTCTACTTCTTGATCACTTTTTGACCAAGTTTTGGTCGCTAAGCATAGCCGGTCCTTTGCATATTTGTTAACGTGTACTTCCTCGCCCGATGCAAAACTATAAAATTCGCTAGTGGACGCCAGTTTATCGTTCCCTGCACGCCATCTTGCAACCTGCAATCCGCACCGACTGGCGTTGATTCGCATTCCCGCGGACGTGAGAAGGCCGACCTACATCCAACGTTGCCCACCTCCGAGTGGCGTGCAATGAAGTAGCGCCCAGGCAGAAGCAGAAGCGTCGAATTATTGCATAATCTCCTGTCCTATTCACACGCCGACGCGCGATCTGAGCCATCATATATTTTCAGCATGATACCTTTTATACATACTCGTACGGCTGCATTGCTCCTCGGATCATGCCTTCGACTTGTTGCTAACACTGACTTCTTTGCCAGCCTTTGCCTACTTGGGCAGCAAGATCGGGACCAGCCCGGATGAGCGTAAGCGGCTTGTGACCTTGCAACATGGCTTTCAATGTTGCTAACCCCGTCCTCCAAACAGTCAAGCTCATCTTTTCCTTCTTTTTGTCCTACCCACTTGCTGGCCTACTGAAGAGGATACCGGATAACCGCCCTCATCTCAAAAACTTCTTTTGTCTAAGGTGTGTCGCTACTCGAGGTTAAGCACGATGATTTAGGGCTATGTATACCACAAGACGGAACCAGATCTAACGTGTCTTCCTTCGCAGCATTGGCGTCTTTTACCTCGTCGGCCTCTTCGACCTGTGGGTCGGCCTTCGAACCGTCCTAATCTCCTCCATTGGCGTGTACTCGATCGCCAAGTTCCTCCGGGGCTCCCCTTACATGCCATGGATCGGCTTCGTCTTCCTCATGGGCCATATGAGCATCAACCACATTATGCGCCAACGCCTCAATGACCCGAGCACGATCGATATCACAGGAGCGCAGATGGTGCTCGTCATGAAGCTCAGCGCTTTCTGCTGGAATGTGGCCGACGGTGTTCTTCCCGAGGATCACCTCTCCGACTTTCAGAAGGACAGACGGCTCAAGGAGTTGCCGTCCCTGCTGGACTACTTTGGATATGTTTTCTTCTTCCCCAGTCTCATGATTGGGCCCGCCTTCGACTTCGCCGAGTACCGCCGATGGCTCGACACCACCATGTTCGACATTCCCAAGTCTGTCGACCCTGCCAAGAAGCCTCCCACCAGACGCAAGCGCAAGATCCCCCGCAGCGGTACCCCAGCCATGATCAAGCTCGTTACCGGTTTCTCTTGGCTCCTGCTCTTCATCTGGCTCTCTACCTGGTTCTCGCCCGAGTCTCTCCTTGGAGACAGCTTCGTGAGCCACAACTTCCTCGTCCGCCTTCTCTTCCTGCACATGGTTGGTATCACGGCGCGCGCCAAGTACTATGGTGTCTGGATGATGACGGAAGGCGCATGCATTCTTAGCGGCTTGGGCTTCAACGGCGTTGATCCTGCCACGGGCAAGGTGTCTTGGGATAGGCTCCAGAACATCCGTCCGATGGGCATGGAGACTGCGCAAAACACCAAGGCGTATCTCGATAACTGGAACATCAACACCAGCAAGTGGCTGCGCAACTACGTCTACCTGCGCGTCACTCCCCGTGGCAAGAAACCTGGTTTTGGCGCTACTTTGGCTACATTCACCACCAGCGCTTTCTGGCACGGGTTCTATCCTGGCTACTACCTGTCCTTTGTCCTGGCGAGCTTCATCCAGGCTGCTGCGAAGAGTATGTCCCCCCATCCCCTATCGATACATGTTTTGTTTGGAATTCCTGACTAACCGCTTATTCTGTCTGCAGACGTCCGCCGCAACATTCGCCCCTTCTTCCTCGATCCCAAGACTCAAGCTCCCCTTCCCTCCAAAAAGTGGTACGATCTCGCCTCCTGGCTCACCACCCAACTCACCTTCAACTTCGCCGTCTGCCCCTTTTTGGTACTCGGCTTCCACGAATCCATCACCGCCTGGTCGCGCGTCTACTTCTACGCCATCATCCACACCGCCGTTGCCCTGGCCTTCTTCTCCAGCCCAGGAAAGAAGTGGCTGCGCAAGACTCTGGAGAAGAGGAACGCCAAGGCAGGCGTTGTCGCCCCTGCTTCTTCTTCTTCTTCTTCTTCTTCTTCTTCTTCTTCTTCTTCTTCTTCTTCTTCTTCTTCTAGTGGACGCGGCCGTGGCCGCAGCAGCATCAGTGACGAGAAGACGAGCAGTACTACCGCGCAGGGTGCCATGGAGACGACGGCTTTGCTTGGCGAGAACCTGAACCGGCCGTCCAGCAGGGCGGAGAGCACGGATAGCCAGTCGAGGAGCCCGATGCTGGGTATCAGTGGCGATCCTCAGGGGGAGCTAGATGAGGCGCTGGAGGAGTTCAAGAAGGAGATGGAGAGCAGAGTTGGTGGTGGCGCGTTTAGTGCGACGGGCTTAAGAGATTCGTTGAGGGAGGAGGCTAGGAAGAGAGCTATGTGATTGATGATTGATAGATCAAGATGGTGGGTAAGAAGTGGCATTTGTATCGGAAAGGGAGATGCTATAGAAGGTGGGATCTGGTGAGACACATTTCCCGGAGGGGTTGCTGATGTTAAGGAGATACTGCGTTTGGAGTCTAGGGAGTTGCTGCGAGAGCAAAACGAATCTTTTTTTGCACTGCATCGCGTCAGGAGTAAGAGAAAGCGAGGCCTCTGTTGCTTGCGTCGTGTTGTTTTCCCTATAATTCCGGTACAAACATATTTTCATGTCAATAGCACATAACCTACCATCTATGTATTCTCCCCGTTTTCTTTCTGGTGGTGACCGAAGTCCAGCCATGGTATTCGCTGTAATCATTCAGTACGGAATCTGCGTTTACCTATGCCCCTCATAATCTTATTCTACCATTTCTGGATATCATCCAATCAGAAGGCAAGATGGCCGAGCGGTCTAAGGCGCCACGTTAAGGTTAACCCTTAATCTGAGTTAAATCTCATATCCGTGGTCCGAAAGGGCGTGGGTTCGAATCCCACTCTTGTCATGACTTAATTTTTTTTTCCCTTTTCTCTAGTTTTGCCATCCTCGTTCGCGAAGCATCATGTTGTTTTCCTTTTTGGTCTCTGTGGGGGGTTTCGTGCTTCTCTTCGTACTTTCTTATTTTGGTATGTAGATGCCTGCAAGAGGGAGATTTGACGTGGTGGGTTGGGTCTCATGGGTATATCCAGTTAGTAGACTTCGTTGTCAACAGGTTCATGCGTGACTTTGAGTGTGAGTTGTAGCTATGTAAGATTTTTGCTAGGAGCGGAAATCATTCTTTCCATTGACTGGATAGAACAGTGTGAGTGTACAGAACGACTCTCAAATAGCACCTTATAACATGGCGGTAGACGAAAGAAGTTTGCATCATGTACAGGTAACTTTTTTTGCATTGAGGTGGCGGTGATGGGTAAATGTAAAATGCACCCAGCTCATCCTATCCACCCAACTCGTAAACGTACAACGTAACCAACAAACACCATGGGTATCTATCCCTTCTTCATCCTGCAACTTTTGCCTGCATAATCACCTACAACCAAACACTCACCCCGCGCCTCCCGTCCCCTTTTCCACAATTGCCCTTGCCCCATTATGTAAAAGTCGAAAAAGGGTATTCAAGTACTTTGCGAAGCGCACAAAAAATAACTCCGCCCCATCGTATGTAGCCCATATAGAAAAAGAAAGAGAGAAAATGCCAATGATGATATTGAGAGAGATCCGTCCGCGAGGAAAGAAGATTTCGTCATCAAGTCGCTGAAAGGCGTTGTGATATGTGTGTCTTCATCGGCGTTCGAGATATCGAGTGAGATCTATAAGCTTTTTGGTTGACCGAGACGCGTGCGTTGGTATTAAAGAGAGAAAAACAGTGTTGGAGGAACCGTTTCAGGCGTGCCACAAAATTATCGTCAATAGTTAGTTAATGATGATGATATGTCGTGTAATTCGTCAAAGATCTCCCGCCGATTCCGGGAAACAAGTGAGTTTTCCCAAAATCCAAAAGATCGTGTCTATAGTTATCGAGACAGAAAAAGAAGAAAGTCGCTGAAAAAATGTGAGCGGGCGAGTGTCGACGGACATTAAACCTGATGAAAGAAATTTCTATCATGTGGTTCAGTCCGCCCAGCCTTGTTGGGAGCCGATGACGGCGAGAGCGATGACGGCGCCAATGATGATAAGTCCGACAAAGGACATACCAGTGTTGAGTCTTCGCCACCAACGCGCGCTGAGATATCTCGCTTCCTCCATAGGGCTGATGGGGTTGATTGAAGTTCTGAAACCGAGCCTCGACTTTGAGCGGTCAAAGAGGTCTTCGGGGGTGTGGGTACCCTTTTCAAGCATCTCGCTTTTCGGGTTAGGGGGCAACGGGAGAAAGGCAGCAACCATCCACGCTAATATACATCACATCTGGTTAGCAAAAAGTGAAAAAACAAGAGATCCATTGCCATTACGAGGCAACTTACCAAAAGGCATGATGAATCCAAGAGCAAAGAGCACAATCTGGATGTTACGCTTGCCAGTGACGCCGCTATCAGCAGACCAGCTCGTGGTGGGAGGATCCCAGACATCGAAACGGCTGTGGCGGCGGTCCTGTCGAAGGTGTGGGGACCAGATGCTAGAAGTCTTTTCCCTGAGTGTGCGGAAAACATTATAGTCTGTTGGTGCAGGTTGGATCTCCATGGAGCCATCCGAGTTGCGTTGGCCTTCTCTCGCGCGCTTGCGGGGGCTAAAAAGTTCCATAGGGAAGTTGTCGGAGTTTGGCGATCCACTGTGTTCAATAGCAGAGCTCGGGCGGCTGTCACCAGCGTCTGACGCGGATGAGGACAGCAGACCGGCCCAGCGGTGTTCGCCAGATCCATAGTAGACCCTTGCCCAAGCAGGAATGGAGTTCGTGAAGCTGTTGGCCCGGGACGGGCGCGAGCGGTGGCTATGGCTCGAATGAAGATTACGGCTCCCGCTCGAGGTGCTGCTGCTATGCTGGAGAAACGAGGACAAGCCTGATCTTGAAGGGTGAGAATGCAGATCTGCAATTCCATCACCGTGCTCATCTTGGTCACGAACCATGCGAATCGGCAGGGAACCACCTCGAGAATGGGCAGCCTGGGGCCTGGCGACACTGTCACTTCCGGCACTTTCAGGAGGTGCTGCGAGGGACGACGAAATACTCTGCATCTGACGGCTGTGCGTGGAACCACCCCACCCGCCAGTGCTGTTGCGGTAACGGTGCTGGCTGCCCATGACGGAGTGGGACACAGGGCGTGAAGAGCCTGGCTCGCTGCCGTATTCGTCTTCGGACATAACCGTAGACAACTGTGAGCTCCATCGATCTGGTGGTGACTGGGTCATCGGTGGTGGACGGTGGATGATGACAGTTTCTTGACCGGAGGAGGAGCCGGCCGATGACCCGGATGGGGATGGTACCGACCATGAAGTTTGCTCCCTGGAGGACGTCGGGAAGCGGAAAAGGACCGGAGGCGTGAGTATGGCCGGAAGAGGCGGTACTGGTGGGGCTCCGATCGAGGAAACGCTTTGAAAGGAGGTGGAGCGGGCTCGAAGGTTCTCACGCGATCGCTGCTTGTAATATCCAAACTTTTCCTGGGACCTCTTCTTGGCTGGCCTGAGCGGTGGGACGCGGAGACTTTCTTGTGAATAACGGCCACCGGTGGCTACAGAAGACGGCGTCGAGCGGGAGTGTACGACAAAGTTCTCGTTACTCTCTGAGCTTCCGGGTGGGCTAGCAGAAGGTGGGGCAGTCGGCGAGGAAGCACCGATAACTTGCCAGTTAGCCGGGCCTGATGGAACGCGGGAAGTCCCCGATGGAAGGCGGGAGGCTTCGCTTTGCGCTTCCCAAATCGACCGAACGGAAGGAGATGCAGCGACCGGCGAATCCCCGACAACTCTCCAGTTTGATTGAGCGAGGGAAGATGCACCTGGCGATACGGGCGAAGAGGTACCTAGAACTTCCCAGTTGCCGTGGGTAGAGGATGGAGCGCGCGATGAAGCCCCCGGGCTGCCAAGAACTTCCCAGTTGGTTGCTTCGTTCTGAGGAGAGATGGGTAGGCTATCGGAGGATTGGGGTACTGAGGTGTGAATGCCGTAAACCTTGTAGTTGGTCTTGTCAGATGCGATAGTAAGACCAGAGACACCAGAGATACCAGATGTAAATGAAGGCTTTGGCGCGATAACCCTCGAGGTAGTCGGGGTCAAGTTGCTATCGCTACGCGATTCGTTGGATGCTACTTCTTGTAACGGAGCAAGGGGCGGGTCGATCGCAGGTGAGTATTCGTGCGTGAGATCTGCAGTATGGGTAACTCTACGTAGACCACCGACCATGCGGTTGCCAGAAGACGTTGAAGCCAAGGGCACAGAACCTTGTATTAGTTGGGTGGTAGACGAATCAGGAGATTGGACGAAAGATGCGGCAAGATCAGATGGAGCAGGTTCCCGGGCGGTAAGTGTGTTACCCGAGAAGGGGGTGCCGACGGTAAAGGGGGTATCGATGCTGAGAGACGTGCTGGTACGGTCGTCACTCGATACGTCGACCGACGGGCGAAACGAGGACGTGGCTGTGGATGAGGAAGGGATGACGGGGGCCTTGACGACGTCGGCAGGGTCCTCGTCGGTGGTGACGATTCTGAAAGTCTTGTCCGGGTTGAGGGCAATGATCTTGCGCTGTCTGGAGAAGGACCGCGGGCGAATCGTGGGTGCAGGCGAGGCTGAATCGCGACGGCCGCGACGAACATCCTGGGTGACAATGTTTGATGCAGACTGGGTTGCGGCAGCAGCGTTGAATCGGGCAATGCTTCTTGAAACATCGGACAGCCTCCTGGGCAAAGGGGTCGGGCTGGTTGAATCTCGAACAACGGAGACGGTGGAATGGCCAGAAAGTCGCAATCCTGAAACTCCTTCATCCTTGCCTTTTGCCAACAACGACAGGGTCGACGTCGTAGCCGAGGACAATGCGGAACCCAAGCTGCTGGTGGCCGTCTCGCTGACGGCATAACCCTCGACTGCTACCTCCTTCGAATCGGGACCTTGGGTGTGCTGACGCTCCTCGCGTTCCTCGTCCGAAGCCTCCTCGACCAATGCAATGGTCGGGCGTCCGAGGCGGTCATCGCTGGAATTGCCCGAGCGGCGCCCGTCCGCGCTCGAGTTGGAGTGGTAGACGGATGACGTCTGGCTGTCTCGGCGATCCTCGTCGTCGGCAAGTCGGGGCGGCGTGTAGGGGACAACGCGGATGCCGGTTGCAGCGGTGCTGGTGGTGTTTGTAGTTGTCTGCGAATGCGATCGTTGGTGTTGATGGTGCATCGGTGGTGATGGGCCATGCCGGCTGGGTGGCGCCGACATGGCTCTCTCCTGACTTCTGATACACCCGGTGCTCGAGGCCGGGATCTAGGCGATCCTGTGAATCCACTTTCTACGTCAAAACTGGTGCGATCAGGACAATTCCATGTGCGATTCATGCGGAATCAGCCTTGTTGACGTTTAGAAGCAGTGGGGCTGTCTGGCTGTTGTAAAACACAAGATGGCCACAGAACAGAAGAGGTATATAAAGAGGCGCAATGCTGCTGTTCCTGTCAAGCAATGGACTGAAGAGACTTGATATCGTTGTTGTTGTCGTCGTCGTCGGTAGTGGGATGACACTGGAGGGTGGCGGCGGTGAGGCTGTATAGTATGGTGGTACTAGCAGCTTTGGGCAGGTAGGTAGGTAGGTGGGTATGCTGTTGTGGTGGTGGTGATGGCGATGGTTGAGGCAATAATATAAAACATTAACAGTAAAGCCAGATGACGATCGATAGCGTATCCAAAGAGTGACCGGTAGCGTGGGTAACCGAGAGAGCGAGTTGGCTTTTGGTAAAGAATGACAAGAAGGGGAATTCCCTTAAAAGAGAGTGGAAAAAGGATGCAGATATCAGACAGCCATGAGGGTGTGTGTTGGTGGTGCCCGTGGTGTTGGTGTGTAGCACCTCCTTGCTGGATGCTTAGTAGATGACGACAGGAGGAGTCCCGTCTTGGGTCGAGACGGGGACAGGTCGGGTCGCTGGCGCCAAAGACCAACAACGTGGTGCAGCAGGTGGGCTATGTATACAGACAGGTGGGGGATGGAAAAAAAAGAGTAGACTAGCAGTCGCAACTGAAAAAACGACGAACAGGACGCAAAATCCAAATCTGAATCCGCGGCCAGGTCGTGTGTCCAAGTCGCAGTTAGTTCGTTCTCCAACTGAAAAGGTCTCCTACACTCACACACACACAACTTCTACGACAGAAGGAGCCCTTTCGCAAACACGCCTCAGAGAGACAGAAGGACGGGATTCGGGCCAAAAAGAAGGAAAAGGAGTAGTAGAGGGAAGAAGGAATGGAATGAACAATGGAACGTCCGTGCCGTGTGGAAGGGCGGTCCACTGCTGCCCTGCCCGCCTACTGCCCGGATGGACCTGCCAGGACTTGCCAGGAGCCAGTGGTGTAGCGCGGGATGGCCGGGGTGCCGGTAGCCCGCCGAGCCCGCGTGGAGAAACAAAACCTGTCGAGTGGGTCCGGGGCTCTCTCAGGGCTTCCATTGGCTGACCGTGCCTGCTAGTCACTAGCAAAAATAAGAACTGCGGTTGCATCCTGTGCTGCCAGTGCGCCGAGAGCGCTGCAGCCCAGCAACCATTGATGCGCCTGCCAGGGAGCACCGCGATATATCAACCAGTGAACATGTCCAAGTCTGAGAACAAGGACAGCCGACCGACTGCAGCATGCAGTGAGGCAGGCTCAGCAGGTCATACTACCTTACCTATCAAAGGAAGCGGCAAAAAGCCCAAAAAAGCCCCTGGTGCCGTGACAAAGTGCAGAAATGGCACCAGGTGTCTGCCAGCTTGACAAAGTCTAATTTCGCGTAACGACATGTCCGAGCGCCATGATAGGGCAGGCGCCTGCAATAAGCTGCAGGTTACTAACTGCGAGCTGGGGTGCTAACAAGAAGTCGCCGAGGAGGAAAGGCATCGCGATGGCAGCACCCAGCCTTGCATATCGATTCCCCTTGAAGAATGTGAGCAACTGTCCGGACAGGCTTATATGATACAGTGCTGGTTTGATAGTTGGCTTGCTATCTCGGCACTCTAGGAGTGTACACTGGGTGAGTTGTCTTTTGAATTGTCTCAAACCGTTTAGATGGCCAGGTACCGATCCAAAGGGGGTCAAACAGATTCAATACAGCCTATGTGTGTATGGCATTTGATTTGGGCCAAAGCATCCTTACAGTATGAAAACGCCTCTGAAAGTTGATCCGAGGTCTCAAGCCGACAATCAACCAGACATGTCCGGACTTTTTTTCCACACCTTCTCTTTACCGAGTTGAGCACTGACCCCATCTCTACACGTGTAGTGTAGTGTAGTGTAGTGTAGGTAGTGTCCCCGTTCCCAATTCCACTGGGCCTTCCTGACCAATCTCGGCTGCCCTTGGACCTCATCTCTGGGGTTGCGCTCGGTCCGGGGTGGGATCATGGAAAGCATGACGAACGGTAATGGCGTTCATCATGTCTCTCCATGCTCGCCAACACCACGATGGAGTTCGCTTCGTCCTAGTCGATCGCTGCCGCAAAACTCAAACAGATAAAAGCCTATCAACTCCCGCCCAGATCTGTCCCACGAGATACAGCTGGGCTCGCCAGGCACAAACTGACGTTGTCTTGTCGCGAAAAAGGGCAATGGGGCAACCTTGATTCGCCAATGAGGGGTCCACAACCACGAGCCCACGCGAGGTTCCTTGCCATTCGAAACACAAGCGTCACTGGCGACATCCTTAAGGCGTTTGCTTTGAGGCTGAGGGCTACACTAGACAGTTGGATGCACAACCCAGTTGATGGCGCGAACAGTGGAGGGAGTACATAGTAGTTACTGATAGTAGGTATGCTGTGGTCCAGACGGACTGGTTGGTTGCTGAGTTAGTTGACTGGTTTCTTTTCTTTTTGCGTGTTTTGTTCCTGATCGGCTGTACCCCTGACGGACACGTTGGAGATGCGACGAGTACGAATCAAAATCCAAAGATGCCATCCTCCTTCCAAGACATGCGGAAGAGCTTTGTTTTTTGCGGAGGTCATATGCGTGAATCAATGTATACCTCACCAATGTACATCTCACCGGAAAGACATAGGAGATGTGCTCGGTACATTCGGAATGCTACCAGTATACCGGTAGACCGGTACCAATATCAGCGGCCGATATACACTGGACCCCGAATCCACTGATCGGTCGGATGAAAGACGGATGGAATGTGAAGCCATGCGGCGGATGGAGGCTCAAACCTTCTTCTGACGGCTACGGCCCGAACGTAGGGCACTTGAAAGAAGAATCGCAATGCCCAAACAACAATGCTAAAGTCAGACGCAATGCCGGTGGGGCAAACCTCCATAACTTCGCTACAACTACATTCCAGTCCCCTTCTCCTCCACCAGTGCACAACGCAACAGGAAACCAACAAGGAGACGGGTCCCGTAACCTTCGTCTGGACTCGTGAACATATCTTCAGCCCAAGGCCCACGGAGATCGGCATTGACACCTCACTACTGCAGGAACAACAGATCTGTCCAGTTGCCTCTTCACCACTCCCGACTACTGTTTCAACAAATTCTCAAACGCGGCTACTGTAGCTGACTGAACGTCAAAGCCCGACCCGAATTCTTGACAGCGGCTCCCGACAGGCGCGCGAAAGGCGACCGACATCTCGGCATCTAAAACGAGCTGTGCATACCACACAACACCTCCTCCATTCATCTTCTCGAACTCGAAACCTGCCTGCTGCCGCGCCTGCTGTACACCACCTTCGGCCTTGCTTTCCGGCGGCTAACGCTTCCGAACTATTTGGAGAAAAAGAAAAAGCATCTCGACATTCTCGGCATTCAACAGCCGCCTCGGCGCGCGTAATCTGTAACAGCGCTTAAGCAAAGACGGGGATCGAGGATCGACGCCAGTACCACCATATCACCACCACGTTGGAACTGAAACCTCCGTTGTTGTCGACTCTTTCCTATTCGGCTTCCTTCAGATCTACTGGGTAACTGAATTGTACCGCATCGAATCGAATCGAGCACCCTCTGCTTTTGCGGGCTGACCCGAACGTTACCACTCTGATTGAGTCTATTCTTGGGCTGTTCTCAAGCACCTATTCAGTTTGAAGTCACATCAGCCTGGAAGTCCTCAATCAAACAAGCGTTGAGGAAAGGATGGTGGCCTTTTCAGAAATGTTTCACAGGCTTAACCCCTGGTCAAAAGGTATACTCATCTCGCTCGCATTCACTCACTTACTTACTTACCCCTCACTTTGCTTCGCCTTACTCACCCCTACCTACCAACACCACGATACACCATCTCACCACATTTGACATCCCCAAAGTAAACAAAGCTAACTCAGAAAACAGATAGCAACCCAATCTCCACCACGACCGCCTCCCTCCTCCTCGTATTCTACGCCCTCTCCTACTTCCTCCCTTTCTACCTCTCCCCGCTCACCCGCCCTTCGCCGACTCTCTCTCGAGACAACCCCTCCGTGATCCGGGCCCGTATCCGCTCCGTCTGCATCTCTTGCTTCTGCTGCTGCCTGTCCACCTTCCTCATTCTGCTATACGTAGCCGATCTCTCCGTGCCGGATGCCCTTCACTATTTGGGATTGTGGCCTTTAGGCCTCACCGAGTCTGCTAGGGCCCTGGGCCTGACGGCCTTGTTGTTCGCTGGCCCACTGTTCTTGTATCTGGTCGTTGATGATGGCTGGAAGGACTGGGTTAAGGGATATCCGGTGGAGGAGCTATGGGGGGACATGCTGACTTGGAGGAACATTGTTGCTGTAAGTTTTTTTTTTTTTTTTTTTTTTTTTTTTTTTTTTTTTTTTTTTTTTTTCCTTGGTCCTATTTCCCCCGTTTTCCTCTTGTCCTCCCCTTGAATCCCCTTCCCAAGCATGCAACTAACCCGAGGGGAAAAAACAAAACAGGGCCCCCTAACAGAAGAACTCCTCTTTCGCACCTCCTCCGTCCCCCTCTTCTTGTTATCTCCCCTCCCCGTCTCCCGCATCATTTTCTACTCGCCCATCATCTTCGGTCTGGCGCACGTGCACCACTTCTACGAGTTCCGGCTTCAAAACCCGCGCGTTCCCGTGTTCGCCGCGCTGTTAAGGTCCGTGTTCCAATTCAGCTTCACCACCTTGTTCGGGGCGTACGCGACCTTTGTCTTCATCCGCACCGGTAGTCTGTTGGCCGCGTTCGCGGTGCATGCGTTCTGCAACGGCATGGGATTGCCCAAGGTTTGGGGGCGGGTGGAAAGGTTGGATGGAAGGGGCAGTGGGCTGGTGTGGACGGTGGGGTATTATACGCTGTTGGTGGGAGGGGCAGTTGGGTTTTGGAAGGAGTTGTGGGCGTTGACGGAGGGGGGGAGTGGGTTAGTGCCTAGGAGCGCATTTAGAAGGTGATGCAGTGATGATGAGGCCATTTGAGGTGTTGATATTTGGGACTATCTGGCCTCTAGACAGACGCCTTTGGTCGGGTTTCGCTTGTTGGCAATTCCGCTGAAAGTTTCTGGTGTCGTTGTCTAGCCGACGATGTGTAGTGCAAGATCAAGGGCAGCCATCTAGCCTACGTGGCCAGATGAGAATTATAATAATAGTAAACTACTTCTCTATGCGTTGATACAATTTGTATTGGTGTGAGTCTTCTTACGTCGGGTTTTGAAAGGCGTGCATCAAGCGTCAGTAAGGTAGAACCAGCCAGCTAGCGAATGACGCCCCAAAGGTCGAGAATGTTGCTATCGGCACGGAAGTGTCTGAACTTCTCAACTTGAACGGCTTCAGGCCCTGTAATTGCCATCGCAAGACCGAACAGACCTTACAGCAAGCGAAACCCCGGATCACTCAAGAATGCATCTCGTAGGCAGAACCATCGTCTATTCTCCATCAACTCATTAAGTATACGTATCTAGTGCTTCCCGACAAGGCAAGTTTCTTATAGTAACCAAACATAAAGATGCCATTGACCGCAGCAGATTCGTAGAGATGGAGCACATATACCCCTTCTCTGTCCCACAATCATCTATCATCCCGCGAGAAAATTCGTCCCACATCTTTGTCCCTCTTTTGAACAGATCCGATCCGTCCACCGTCGCCTTCTGTCCCGAGTGAGTTTCTACCGACCGGATCCAGCAGAAGACCAACGCCATTAACCATACGCATATAGAGACACACACGCGGCACACGACACACATATGCTGTTGTGATGTGCTTCCATGCGCCGACCAGGACCAATAACCAAACCAACCAACCAACCACCTTTCACACCCACCCTATAGAGAAATGAAGAGAAAAAAGACACATCCAATTCGGTTTTGTCCACACCTGCTTGCTTGCTTGCGACTCCCTAACACCTTAGGTTTTATTCCCTGTGCAAATGCTTATAGATAGCGAGAGTAGGAAAAACAACAAGAAGAGTCTGATGCGAAACTAGATCAGTGTACTAGAGGATTTCAACAGGTGTTTATAAGCATTGTACAGGGAAATAAAACCAAAATGAAAAAGGCGGACAAAAGTAGACAAAGGTATTTTTCCCTCTGCAACGAAGCCCGTTTCCTGACTAGCGCCCGGTAAAGGCGGGAAGAACGGTGGGGGAAGAAGGAAAAAGGGGGGGAGGAGGAGGAGGAGCTGAGGCCGAGCTGGCAAAGACCGTCAGTGTTACATCCGCACAATACTCCGGCTTGCACAGTCTGTCATCACGTTCCCGCCACGAGGCGGCAACGCGCTTCGCTCGGTACTGCTGCCCCCAACTCCGCACCGGTCTGTGAAATCAAGCATTTGCCGCATCCCTGTTGCTGGCCGCGCTAGCGCTCATGGTAGGCTGAGTGGTAGGCAGGATCTGGGAGACCTTTTGGCGGGTCTTTGACCAAGTGTAAACGAGACCAGAAACGAAGCCGACAAAGATGGCGGTGACACTGCCAAAGGTGACGGGGGCGTCGAAGAAGATGAGACCGCTGATGGCGAGGGGAAGCTTGTTGAGAGCGCCAACCATGGAGTAGGTGGTCGAGGAGGTGACGCGAATGCACCAGGCCGAGCAGTACGAGATGAAGATGGCAGCGAGGCCGGAGTAGATCATGCCGATGAAAAGGCTGTTGCGCGTCTCGACGGGGAAGTTCTTGATCAAGTTATCGTTGGACCAATCCTCGAAGAGCAGGGAGAAAACGATCAGGACGGGAATGGTGAGGAGGTTGTTGTAGAACATGGCTGAAGTAAGAATTCCGTTAGTAATGTACTTTGTCACCACACAAATCCCGGCCAGAGCCACTTACTGTCATAGTCCTTGAAGTTCATCTTCTTGATGACCTTGCGCATGCCCAAAAGGTACGCGGCGGTGCAGAAGACGTTCATACCCATCCACGCGTAGCCGGCGTTCAGGGTGGAGATAGCATCGGTAGCCTCGGCAGTGTGACCAACGCCCTCGACGGCGGCCTGGATATCGGCCCAGGCAGCAATGACGGAACTGAGGACCATCAAACCGAAGGAGAGCAGAGCCATGGGGGTGACGCTGCCGCCGAACCAGAGGACCTCACCGTAGGCAACAACAATGATGGTTAGGTTCTTGAAAATGGTGTACACGGGCACGGAGAGGAATTGAAGCGCCTTGGTGCTGGTATAGATCATGCCCACGAGCAAAAGCGAGATAGGGAACCCTGTTGCAGCCCTGTGTCAGCCAACAGCTCCAGACTTCCACAAGGTGAAACAAGCGGAAGGCTTACATTTCTTTGCCTTGGTCGAGTCGAAAGCAGCGAGGTTCTGGAACATGCCCAGCTGTTTGCAAATCAGAATGGCGGCAGTACAGACCAGAGACTGCCATCATGGAGGTATTGTTAGCGTTCTCTTCTTTTTTTTTTTTTTCTCGTCCGGCGGTTGAAGCCTTGGGGTGTGCGTGTTTGTTCCGGCTGACGTACCTGCACAGCAAGGTAGAAGAAGTTGAGGTTCCATTCACTGCCGGACACAACGTATTTGTTGACAACCGTCATGGAAATCGACGAAAGACAGTAGGCGATAATCGAGGCACCGGGACTGTGGTCAATCTTGTCGAAGTAGCCGCCGAAAGGACCAGCTTGTTGAGGGCGGTTTGGCTGCGAAGACGATCTCCTGGCCAGGAAAGGGTCCTTGTCGGTCGAACCCCGACCCTCGGCGGGGCCCAACTCAATGTCTTCGTTTCTCTTGTTGGCCATGGTGTGCTACTGACGGGAATTACGTCGATGTGGTGAGAAAAAGACAGGCGGGTGGTCCGGTAGGTAAAGGGAAAAAGTTGTAAGTTGCGAAATGCAGCGACGGTCGAAAAGACGGGTCTGGTGGGATGCGCGCGGGCTGGCTGACTGACCGCCTTGGAACGAGCGAAGCGAAAACCAACAAGGTACCGACCGACCGTTATTAGTCGGTGCGCTAGTCGCAAAAGCCGTGCAGTAGGAAAGAATGAAGGTGGATGCGGCCGTTCACGCTGACACCATTCCAGAACCGAAAACGGATATCCTGAGCCTTGCTGGTTGCCAAGAGCAGGAAGGGAACTTGGGAAATTCTACAGGCAAGTCCTATGTAGTGTATGAGCACAGAGCGCCGGCGACTTCAGACGCGTGTCAGAAAAAGGGTTTGGAAGAATTCCTGTCAAGTTAAATTGCCAGATGCGAAACCCGCCCGTTCTCCAATCAGGCTTGGCATCTCGACACTCCAGTGGCCCGCGCTCCCCCACACAACCCCTTTTCCTTGCCTCGACTTCCCTGCCTGAGAGCGGACACTGTCCCGCAACTGTCACTTTGCCCCTTGTCACCTGCCAAGCCGTGAACCGTACCCCTTAAGCCTACAGCATCCTGGACCAATCAGCCTTGAGCATCGCCATCAGCTTGGTCCATGAGGCTATTCCCACTCTCGTCGGTTGATGGAAAAAAGGAAGTACAACCAAGTATGCAGGGTGTAGATCAAAAATGCTACTACTATTTACTACCAAAACGGCGTTGGGCGTGCTCCAAGACCAGCACAATAGAGTAGCCCGCCACCCTTTCAATACGACTATAGACATGAAACGAACCGTGCAAACTTCAACCGTCTAATCCCCTCATCTCTCTTCCTCCACGTCCATCTCGTCGTCCCCTTCTGCTTCCCCCTCATCCCTTCATTGTTTTGTCGCAAGTTCTTCTTCCTCCGTCCCGTTGCTTTTCACTCGCCCATTTTTATTTCGTCTTCTCATAATGCGTTGGCTCAATTCATGTACCGCGTCCGCTCTGCGCCTGGACAACCTCACAAACCCTTCCGCCGCCGATACCCTACTCTCGTTCTGTACCAACTCGTTGCATAGTCGTGTCGTCTGTGGATCACAGAAAAGGGGGGTCATCTCTCTCACTCGTAAACTCATTCGAAGCCAAAACCGATACCAAAAATGAATGACAAGCCGAACAAAAGAACAACCAAACCGATTCAACAATAGAACAACAGAAGGTTAACATTCCTCATCCCTTACACGCATAGAGTGAGAGAGAAGAGATGTAAAGTGTTGTACATAGCCCATTCGTGGCGCTTACCGAGCTGTAAGGGCCGAGGAGCCGAGATGTGTGGACACATTTTTAGGTGCCACGCAGCGGAATCTGATTATCTCTGTATAGCAAAAATCGAATGTTAGCGACTTCAGTGCGCCATCATCTAGTCCAAAGATGGCGGCATTCTTGACTTACCCGTCCACGTCTGGAGTTGTTGTTGCCTTGCTCCTGCATGTATCCCACATTTTGCTGCTGGGGCGGCATGCCAGCTCCGCCTATAGGAGCAGACCCAGCGTTGTAGCCGTAGCCAGGAGTAGGCATGCCCATGTTCATGCCGAATCCAGGAGCTGCGCCATACGGACCCTGAGGACCACCAGGTGGCATGTTAGGCATCTGGGGTGCACCAGGCGGCGGCTGAATCGGGCTGCCGTTGGACATGGCAGCTTGAGTGCCGCGATACTGGTCGATCGAGGGGCTCGGGGTCTGGAAACCACCAAACCCGGCGGGCATACCGGCCGGGTAGTAGTTGTTCATGGGAGGTGCGCCGCGTGCCATCATGCTCTGCTGGTACTGCATTTGCTGGAGAGCAGCGGCGGGTGCCATCGGCGCGGCGGCTCCACCGTACATTTGTCCTTGAGGGACGAAAGCAGGGAACTGCTGGGGGATCTCCAGGCCCTCGCTTCTAGGAATGCCGAAAGCCATGTCATTGTAGTTGGGGGCGCCGACATTCAATGGGTTATAGTACTGACCCGGTCCAGGGGTAAACTGACCAGGTTGCTGCTGTTGCGCCTGCTGTGCCGGCTGAGGCGGCTGCTGCTGCTGCTGCTGCTGCTGCTGCTGCTGCTGGTTTTGCTGCTGATGTTGAGGAGTCTGGCGCGATGTAGGGCGCTGCCTTTCACTATTGTTGCTGTTGCTGCTGTTATTGTTGGT